CGAAAGCAACAACAAGTAGGCCAGTCTGGTCGTTTTCATGACGATGATTAAAGCGATGATGAGGATTTCGTCAAAATGTGTTTCGAATTTTTTGCATGACAGCGAAACGAAGCGTAATGAGCGGTAGACGACTTTAATAGTTGGTGTTGAGGCAATGTCGTCGTCGTCGTCGTCGTCGTCGTCGCCCGCGCCGTCACATCGATGACCTATACACCAACGAGAGGGCATTTTTTCTTTTTCGCAATGACATAATGCGACTAATCGCTGTCGTTTCGAGCAACAATAACATTGCCTATTTCCTCGTGAGCTCCTCTCGTTAAAATATCCGACAGCGACCGCCGGTTCGTTTGCACTGAACGTCTCGTTCTCTCTCTCTCTCTCTCTCTCTCTCTCTCTCTCTCTCTCTCTCTCTCTCTCTCTCTCTCTCTCTCTCTCTCTCTCTCTCTCTCTCTCTCGGATAATGCAGCTGATGGATGCAGACGAGCATATAATGTTCGCCAGTCAATGCACCACACTGATGATCGATACTTATTTTTGGTTTTTACTTTGCCATAATGAATACAACAGTTTGATAGAACATCGCTGCTACAGCTGTTTACTAGTCAACTCCAAGTAGAAAGGGTCAAATATAGTCAGACAACAAAATTACCATGGTATTTCCTTCTGAGATTTGAGTTACGATAGAAACATTGAAAATTTACTAGATACATTGCAGAATGTATAGCAAAGCGAAAGAGAAGCCACGAAGAAATTATCAAATTACTGAGAAATAAAGCTAAAGCGTTGAGGCAAGTTCTCCACGTTGGCCACCAGCGCGTAACATAATACGCGAGGTCGCGAGCAACCACATCTATTTGGCCGAGAGAGCGAGTGGACAAACTCGCTGTAAGCACGCACAAAAGCCTGCCATGGCCGGCACATCTCTCTTCTGCAGCTTATTGATCGCACGTGAAAAGTGCATCTTGACACAGGCAGCGCGCAAGGCATTGCCAAGTGCTGGGCAAAGATAGTACCTCGAGATACACGTAATTGTACTGCGAATCTATCTTTATTCAGAAATGAAAGATGAGCCGATCGTCACTGAACAACGTCCGTAGCGCTACGTGCGTTATAACGTATGCGACCTTGTTCATTGGTAGAAAGTTGTCTGGATCTTTATTTGACTTGCTCTCAAGGGGCTTCTTTTTTTCTGCTGCTAGTCGATGTGTCGAGAAGGAGCAAGTTTTCTTAGACGATGATCGAGCTTAATCGCCGTACAATATTACAGAAATGCTGTGCATCTATGGTCGAATATGCTTCCACGATGTTTGTCAATGGGTTGACCTTTCTCCAGCTCTTCATTCGATTTCAATCGGATGAGTCATTTGGATTTGCGTTCTTGCACACCTGCTGCCCGAAAGCATCTAGTCCGGAAGCTTCCGTGACGTGGAGCTGCAGAACAAACGGTCGCGGAAACGACTTATATCAAGGCTCGAGGCCGTAAGTCGCAGCGCCTGCCCGCGGCGGACTTTGTCGCTAACTGTATGTAGCCTCTGCGCCTCTGCGCCTCTGCGTCTTCAAGACTTTATAGGCCACTAGACTAGAAGATGAAAAAGACTTGCACGCGGACCGCCGCTAGTTGTATGATTTACGGATGACTGCAAAGGTCGGCGAGCGAGAGGAGAGAAAAGAGAAAACACGCGTGCACACGAGGTGCTGCAGCCCGCAACCACCTTCATAAATTCACCTCGCGGTCTGCAGACGACACATTTTACTCGCCCGCGCACTACACCTAATCGCACGTGACCACCGCAGCTTCTCTTTTTCGTCTTCGGCCAGTGAGAAATTTGACGTTTGCGCGGTACTCGACGGTTATTGCACGAGGGGGCCGACAATGGCTTTCCAGTGCGATTGCTTTTTGAACGAGGTGTCGAAATGAAGCTTCACGCGCGAAGGCCAATATTTAATGCGAACAAAAGGCAGTTGCAAGCATGCGCAGAGCCTTCCAAAGTTTCTTCTGACAGTTATGAGTTATGGTAGAGGAGGCAGCGAATCCCGTCCAATTCTTTTACCTGGCAGACTGATTTGGTGTGGTGAGCGAAGGAAAGAGTATAGTCCCGCCAGACCTAACGAATATTAATCTTTTCATCGACGCAAGCGAAATTGATTCCTCGAGCGAATGCTTGCTTTTCAATTTCAGCTTCGTTCGAAAAAATGAAAAAATGAAAAAATGAAAAAATGAAAAAATGAAAAAATGAAAAAATGAAAAAATGAAAAAATGAAAAATTGAAAAATTGAAAAAATGAAAAAATCGGTCGATATCAGAGCCGCAGCACCTTGTTATTACTCGACGAACCAGTATCATCAATTGATCTCTTCGAAAGACGTATGCCCAAGCAAATTAACACATTGGCTGGGCAATCAGCGACCATTACGATAATCATCGGAAAAAGAAGTGACGCTAGACTCGCCGAAAAAGTATGAAAAAAAATTACAAAACAGGCGATAGAATAATCGGCGGTAACCTATTATATACGTAATCTCCGAAGTAACCTGCTCGTTCCGCAGACATAGACGCAAGAGGATGACGCAACAGTACATTTGTGCTCGATACACAACGACAACATATACCTCGGCGCGCACCTCTTCTTCGGATCGATCATCGGCGCGAGATACGGCTCGTCAATTTTAATCGCGCAACGCGCACCGGCGCCGCCGCAGCCAAGCATACGGCACAACCAATTAGCGTAATGATCGCAGCTGTGGCCAGACGTAACGGCTGACGTCAGCTCTCTCTCATCCCGACTCGGATGCAGTCGGCGCGCAGCGAAATGCGAAATGCGAAATGCGTGCTCTGATTGTTGCTGCAGGCCATTGGAGAGCTTATCGAAGGCGAACACTTTCTTCGCGTTGGCCGACTTTTACGGCGCTGCAGTTCGGCAACTGTTCCGGCTTGCTTTTCAGCGCGTGGGCTTCTTTTCGATTGTCTGCAAATTGGGCGCATTGGCATATTTTTCATCGGAATTCCAATTGAAAAATTAAGTTGAGATGTGCTGCTACGTAAAAATTTCATTTGTGACCAGATGGTGCAGTTGCATGCGCACGCCAAACACTTTGCCTATCGAAATGACATTAGCCGCATAACAAACTAACTTAGTGGATCAATCAATTTGGGATATCGCGCGTTCGTTCTCTGCTGTTCGTTCTCTACGGGACTTGACCCGTCTATCCACTTGCTCTTCACGCGCATGCGTACATAGCCAGGCCACCGCGAACGATGTGACGTCATTGCCTACGTACGTCAAATTCAGCGAGCATGTCCGAGTAGAATTGTTGGACTTTCGCGCGTTTGGCTTCCTATGTCGATGCCATTGCTCGGTCAAGCGACTATTTTGATCTATCGGTTTTCTGGTTGAAGCAGCCTCCTCACTCGAGAGCAAGAGTAGAGCAAAAAGTAGAGTGGTTTCAGTGTGTCTTCCGAGTAGCGTCATTCGCGCACTCGCGCAGCGGCAAGCATCATCTATTGAACACGAGAATTCTATTCTGGCAGCGTTGAACGTTGCTAATATTCCTAGTCTTACGTGCAATTTCACTCGACGTTCACCTCGTATAGCAGCCATTGATACAGCCTCGTGGCTGACATCCGTTATACGTCGCTTTTCTCGCAAACTGCAATAACAAAAAGCAAGCCAGACGTAACTCAGAGCGGAGGGCAAGACAAGCAGCGGGCCGCGCGCGGCTTTCATCCTTCGTAAACTTTTTGCGCATGAATCTCGCTCGATATATAGCCTGGCGGCTTCGCGCACAGACGGACGACCGAACCAGGCGACTTAACGGTACGGGACCTATAACTTTGCGGGCCCACTGCCGCGGATATGTATAGCAGGCGCGGCGGCCTCAACTCGGACTCGCTTTGGCTTCTTTTAAGGTCACCTCGTTGCAGCAGCTCGGCCCCAGCAGCCACACGCAACCAAGCAAACATGTATATCGGTCTGACGGAAACTCGACACTCGGTACGCTATATTTACCGAAAATCTTCCGCGTGTGCGGAAACAAATTCATGCAACAAGTGACGGTCGTCGAAAAAAACCACGTAGAATCTGAATTTACACGCTGCAAATCTATGTGATCGGTTAAACTTTATTGGCATGCCTCAAGACTGTGCCTTTTAAAATATTATCTATTCCAAGTTTGCGATGGGACTTTAAAATGATTTCACTCGCACGGCATCTCATTTGCAGAGAATACATTCTACAGTTGACTTTTTACTCAAATTATTAAGCTACTGATCAATGTTATAGAGTATAAGGTAATGTAACATATTATAATACAGTTAAAAACTTATTGATACATTCATTTATCAGTTATGTTTATATTTTGTAAATAAGGCGTTCAGATCTGCAGTCAATCGCTATGTTCATTAAATTACGAACTTTACACACGAACACGTATTTTTTACTTGATAAAAAACTTACTTACTTGCTTTTATAAAGAAAGCACTTTGATAGTAGTCAAATTAAGCTTGTTCAAGCTTTCAATGTGTTTCGATGGAATTTTAAAGTAATACAATGGTCACTGTTGAAATACTAAATAATTTTAAAAAAATGAGGAATAATAGGCATGGAAAACAGATAATTACATTGTCCGTCTGAAATTGCCTTTCACTCTCTTCGCGCATGAGAGACCAAGCAACGATTTGTTGGAAAAACGAGCGGCACGAGGTATCAATCAATTGCAGTTGTTGATCTTTATCGGGCTAAAATTATTGCTTATCAGTCGTGCAAAAATTATAATTTATCCTATATAGATGAGCCTTCTAATATTATTATTATCTAACTTACAATCGTCAACATCGATAGTATCGACTCAAGCTATTACAATGGCGACACAATAAAAAATAAATTGAACGCATGTTCTAAAAGCCGTTTATACCATAAAACTTTGAGACAATGCATAAACTCTTATATACATGTGATAGCCGAATACTCATGTCAGTTGACTCTCTTGTTGAATGGTTGTAGTTACAGATCAGTACGATGAGCGTCAAGCGCGCATGCTCAGCGAGTCACCAAGAGCAAAAGCACGACGCGAAAGCATTCTACGAAGTATGCTGGCTGCTCGTCGTCGCAAGATTTTACGTGAACGTACTACTGTCGAGACGACTGCAATTAAAGCACAAATGACAGCAACGTCGTCAAGTCGACGATACTCGATGAGACGGAAACCCGTTGTCAGAGAAAGTCCCAGTGGTAGTGATTTACTCGAGATGCAAGAGTCTCAGCACGGTGTCTACGTGACGGTACCCGAGCAGCAGTCCGTCAATGATACGCAGATCGTTATTGAAACTCTCGCTGAACGTGGCACTGGGTAAGATTTCTTTTCGACTAACTTTTAAAATGGCCTTACTGCGACGTGCCAAACGTCTTATCGCACAGTCGAAAGTCTTTAACTATGGGCCGGCAAGGCAATGTCAATTTGACAATATAATTTTTGCCATCAATAGTTTACTCTTTCTTCGACAGCTTGGCACTTGGAATCCGCGTGCCTGTTTGCTTTCGTGATTTCACTTTTTATCCTTTTCTTTTTCTTTTTAACGTCAGTAATCCAATGCTTGCTCGGATAGATGATTACAAACAGCATCGGCTTCTCGAAGAAACAGCTAATTAAACGGAAGAAAGTATGTATTGATTGTATCGATTATCGGTAACAGGTTGAAACGCAACAGCGGCACGTCGACTACGAAAGCGTCGCCGCAGCAACGTGGGGTGAACAGCGTGCTAGAACAGCAGCAGCAGCAGCAGCAGCAGCAGCAGCAGCAGCGTAGCAAGAAAATCGTAGCGATGTCCGCCTCTCTGTACAATCATTTTAATCCGGTGGAGAGCAACATCCCCATCGAGGACATGTCCCAGTTCCTGTATTTCGGCCAGAAGCTAAGGGGAACCGGTAAGTCGACCACGCATTTACCTTCTTTTCCCTTTCTTTTTTCGAAAGTGCCGCGCGCAGCTTTTACTCTCGCGCATGACTTTTCTTTTTCGCGCTGCTCCTCCCTGCTGTGTACATACTGTCGACGAGAGGGTGACAGAGAGGGAGATGCATTTTCGGGTGAGAGGAAGAGGCGCAGCATCAGCGGCAGTCTCCTGTCTTCTTTCTTGTTTTCTTCTCCTTTCTCCTTTTGTGAGCAGGCGTTATTTATGGAGCGGGTTTCACTTTCGGCGCGTTCGCTCACCGCGAGAGGGACTTTTCATTGATATCCGCACGTACTTGTATGCTTCTTTTTATCATTTCAAGCGCGTTCATCAACTCAACAATTCTGCAACTTTACCTAACTGATTTTTTCCCATTGGACTTGGACTTGGATGAAAAATCCGGTATCACGATGCTTAAATTTAAAATGTAAATGTGTCTGAAAGCGATATTTATAGGTATTCGTCGTGATTTACTCGCAAGACCGAATCGTTTCTTCGTTTGTCTTCGATGAAAACGCGCATAAAAAGCGGCAAACGATAAAATTTATTTACACAGAAAAGTCATGTTTGTATAACAGGAATGGGCAAAGACAGCATGCCAGTGAGTGCCCCGCCGAAGAAACTGTTAGCAGGTCTCCAAGGTACGATCGACGACGAGATGAACAGCGTGGACCGCAGTAGCAGTGTCGTCAGTAGTAAGTCGACCAAGATGCGTACGACAAGTTTGCGCGAGCACACAACGAAAGCAGCCTGTGCCGACAAAGCTGTCGCCGAAACGCGCACCAACAGCATCAATGCCACCGGGCTTGAGAAAAACGCTGGCATTGGCGCAGCCTCCAACTTAAGGATTGTCGTCACCGAGGTCGTCGCTACCACTGTCGCACAACCTACACCTATGACCAGTATTACGAGCAGTACCACCACTGCGACCATCCCGACTACGGCCAGTACTGCAACCAAACAGTCGATCTCTCCTACGGAATCTACGGCACCGAGGATCAAGGTATTTAGCTATTTCTTCCCGTAGCTACGCCGTTCGAACGGCAATAATGAAGCTTGAGCTATTCGCTAATTTAACGCGCAACCTTTCCAAAGATCGAGTAAGCTTTGTATATAACTCTTATCAATCTTGCGCACCGAGTATACTTTCAATCCTGATAAGACATGCAAAAGCGAAACGTCAGTGGTAGGACCCCTCTTGTCTCCGAGAACTTCTCGACTAATTAGACAACCAAACGGGCTGAAGGCACACGTGCCGCCTGAAAAGCGTTCGCGAGTACACAATTATTCGTACCGAGCCCACAAATTTTCGATAGCGATAACAACAGACGCGCCTCTTGTCTACTCTACAGCAACAGGAGCAGCACGTGACCGAGTCGACAACGGCGGCGGCGCGGCGAGCGTTGCGCAACTCGACCGGCGCGCTCGCCGCGGTCGCCTCCTCCTCCCCCTCCTTCTCCTCCCCCTCCTCCTCCCCCTCCTCATCCTCCTCCTCCTCCTCCTCCTCTTTGCCTCAGCCGCAGCAGCAGCAGCAACTCAGCAGTGCCGGCGCGCCAGTCGAGCAAGCTGCACCACGCTCGCGCTCACAACAGCCAGGTTTCACTATCAGGTGGACTGACGTAAGGAGCAAGAGGCGCAGGCTCGCCAATAGACGACGTGAAAAGGCCGCCAGAAATATGGACGAGCCATTGTCAACCACGAATACTACTGGCATTACGATGGCTCCGCCGATTTCTCCTGCTACGTCCGAGACTCTAGTCGAGTCGTCGAGCACGGCGACGATCTCGACGACGACATCGACGACATCGACGACAACGACGACACCAACGTTGCAAGAAGAAAGCAATACGATGGACGAAGACGATGTTACGACGGAAATGCCAACCACGACAATGAGAATGCTGGACCCATCCGAGGTGCAAAAGATGTACAGAGCGGCAAGTACCAGCAGTAGTACGACGGAAGAAATACCGGCGGCGACGACGACGACGACGACGACGACGACGACGACGACGACGACAACGACGACATCGCTTGATACGCTCAGCAGTAGCAGTCAGAGTCCCAATAGGTCGCCCGAAGTACGCGCTAGGAACCTCGAGGACAAGGCCAAGGACGACGTGTTGCCGATAATGCAGCTCTACAATACTTCGAATATGTTCAATGCCAGTGACAGTTCCACGGCCAAGAGCACCACCACGATCACCACGATGTCGACGACAATCACGACAACCACAACAGTTTTGCCTAGCCAAATAGTGACCGAAGCTCCGACAACGACGATCGCTGAACCACCAACGACAATTTCCGCAAATACAACAAAATCGACGACGACGAGGCCAAGGCCGAGGACCACGAAAACTACAACGTCGACAACGAGCACGACGAGTAAGCCGGCACACGAACATAATAATTCGGGTTACTATCCGCTGGAGATTGGCAACAGGACGTTTTACGAGCCGCCGGCTTTTGTGGCAATCGGTGGACCTTTCGTTAACGCGAGTGAAGTGATTTCGAGGCGACACAACGGTGATACTTTAGCCAGCCAAGAGACTGTCGCTGTTGTCAGCTACATACTCGCCACCCTCGTTGTCTTTCCCATTGCCGTTGGCGTTGCACTTATTCTCAGAAGACTGATACTTAGGAATCGTAAGGTAAGCTTTCTTATCCTCTGTGGAAATCCTTTTTTATTTATGATTTTCTAGCTTTGTTATAGTAATTTACTTGAATTACGTGTTTGCATAAATGCAAAAAATCCCTATAAAATTTCAAGTTTTGCGAATAAAATTACCAGCGCTTTCGATTATTCTCAAAAGTTACATGTAACCAAATTTATCAATTATATATAGGCATATTCAAGAATTATTTAATAGCCCGTTAAGTATTGTGAAAATCATATTTTTATTGTAATAAACGTTTACTGTGCTCCATGGTCTTAGGTAAAATTTAACTAGGTGCTAAAAAATAAATAAGCGCAAGAAATGAAAAAATTCATACGCTGTGTAGATGCAGCCATGCCAATGTGCTTGTGTAGAGGCACATTCAGCTCGAAGCAGCATTATATCAATTGTTTATTTAATCCAACGTGGGTGACTGCGATCAGCATTTAACGCAAGGCGTGAATGGAAACATTTTTAATGGTACCTTATCTATCCTCTCGACTGCCTTTTTCGATTGGCATTTGATTGGCTGATTGTGCACCGCGACGAATTTTCTTTTACATTTCCTGTTTACATTTAAATCGACACAGCGGAATCGAGCCTTTGCCACCTTCTGCCAGCTCGATTCGACTGTGATTTATCGCTGCCTAGTAGACAAATACCTAATTCAACGCGAAAGTTTGGAATCGTTCGGATCGTATTTGACTGATTTGCCCGAAGGCATTGAAAGCGTTAAATTGAAGGCACGGATGCAATAGAATTGGCTGCCCGCTGATCTTTTCTTGGAATCATGCAAAGCCTCGAAAATCAATGTAGTGTGTCCGAGCGAGAATCGTACTGATTTGACCGTGACTTACAATTGGCGAGAAAAGCAGCTTGCTACTCGTCAGGCGCTGATAGGGTAGCGCAGCTCTCCGACCCAGTGCTCACGAATCGAAAGCTAATTGACGCCAACTAGAGCGTGATTCCTGCCGTCGACGTCTTTTAATTCGCATCTGTCGATCGATCCGATCTCTCTTTGTGCTCGGATTTTGGTCGGATCGTTGTTGTCGGACGTGCGCACGTGAGTCCCCAAATTCATCAGGTTCGTAGGTGGCGGAGGGGCGGCGCACGCGGCGCACGCGGCGCACGCGGCGCACGCGGCGCACGTACGAGTAGACTGAGCTAGCTGCCACGAGCAAGCAACGGGTGTTAATTCACGTAGACTTTCGCGAGGCGTCTGGCGCTTGATTGCCGTATTTAATCTTCAAGCCACTCGGCACTTGTGCTTTTGTTTGAGGAACGTATACGCGCGCTCGCATAATGGTTTCTCTCTCGCCGACTATAAATTTCCCAGAGAATTGAAATTTTGCACTTCTCGCTTGCACGAGACGTAATTGTTTCTCCGAGTCTCTGCTTTTATTTCCATAAGACTCATGGATTTTGATGCACCGTCGCCTACGGACGAACGTTCAGTCCTTGCATTTTTAATGATATTTTTAGAAGCCTGTCGCTGCTCAAAGAACGAGCGTTACGACAAGGCAATTGCACGTATGCGTCTGTTGATGCTGAACTCTGAACTGCACGACGTTGACTCGTGTTGGCCAGGTCGCGCCTACACCAACTACTAAGTCTCAAAAATCAAAAAGAGCCGCCTTTCCAACAACTTTCGAATAAATACCGCAAGGCTCAGATAAATCGGTTTGCGCTCGAGTGGCAATCAGCAGAGCATTCGGAATATATCGTGGCGGAGTTTAACTCAAGATTAGCCATTGTCACGCGCGTCATAAGACGGCCGAGCCGCGTCGAAAACTGCAAAAAGACAAGAAAAGAGGGACCATCGTCTTTTGTGCGCGCGTCGTCGCGCTGTTCAATTTATGGCCACGCGCGCATTTCTCGTTCGACGATGGATTGCGCTCGCGCAGCTGCAGGGCACACGTCCGAACTTGAAAGTCAGATGCAGCCTCGAACTGGCGCTCGTTCTTTTCGCGAGAAATCGATCGACCGGCGACCGACACTTGCATAAATGCAATTCCGAAGATTCCAAATTAGCCACATGTCGACGTTGTCATCCGTAAAGAGCGGCGGCGCGAGGAGGAGCGCGCGCGCGTGCCGTAATAGGCGTGCGCAATTTGCTAATGTCATTGGTAATTGTGAATTGTGAGGCGCCTCGTGAAAAGAACGCATTTCAGCACGGAAGAGAGAGTTGCAGAAACGAGCGCGCACACAGTTGAGCGGCGTCGATAAATGGATGCCGTATTAACGCATTATTGTCGTCGTGAAATAGGCGCTATTACTTAATTCCCACTTCCAACGCCCATTGGGCAACAATGCTCGTGCGCTCCGTTTCGTTATTCCGTTCAGCAAAGCTCTCGATGGTACAGGTGCGTCGACGGCCGCCAACGAATTTGTCGCCGTCGGAATCTTTCTTGCGAAAGCCATTTTCTACGCCCTAATGCGCATAACGCTCAAACTTCCTGGCTCTTCTTCTTTCAATAGCTTTCGCCTCCGCGCCACTCCACTTTCATCGTCTTATCTTCATTGCCGCCCATAAAACGCCCATAAAACGTCGATGCTCAGTTTGACGCCAGTCATTTGTCAATATCTCATCGATATCCTAGCTTTGCCTGTGAACGGCTCGCTTGTATTCTAACGACTCGAAAATTCAACTTGTTCACGGGCTTTTTTCAGCCATCGGTAATGCTCGGCGCGCGGATCGATTGCCCGTCTTCGAAAACAACTCGTTTTCAAACGCTTAAACAGTGCCGATCGTTCATTCTATAATTAGTATTCGGTATGCGCATTTACGCGGTGCACTTCGTGCAGTCGTGCAAAGCTGACACCACGTCAACAAATAGGTGGAATGGTGGAATCGAAACGCAGACTGACGCAACAATGAAGGTATTTGAAGCTGGCGAATTCATACGATACAATGCAACGAAAATCTACGAGCCGGTAAGATTTTTCTGAAAGATTTTCGATCGGCTGATTAAGCATGCACAACATCAAGGTTAAAAGCCAATCCGATGAAGAGAAGAGAAAAAAGAGCAGACAAAGCGTGCACTCGCGTGCACGTATATACGTAGGAGCCCTAGTAAATTCTTATCGTTACATCAGGTTTCGTTGGTACGGCCCGCGTGGCACTCCAACGTATCCATTCACTTGCTTCGTTGCGCATCGCGAGAACGAGCTCAAATCGCGCGCGTACAAGTGCGCATTGTTTCATTAAAAGCCGATCGCTTAAAAACGAGAAAGAAAAAACAAAGCATCGTTTGAAAAAGTATGGAAGCGCGCAGCGCAGAAAAAAATCGTAAGCAAGTATTACACTGCCCCCCGACAATCGACGCATTTCCATTGGCGCAACGCTTCGTATTTGACGCATGAAATCGGAGCGGCAACGGTGTGCCATCGCGAACAGTTGGACCGGACGCGGCCTAGGCAGCTAGCAAGAGAAAGCAGTTTGATACCAACAGTGGCAGCACGCGCTATCGGGCTTTGAACTTGCTTGCTTTGCAACTACGACGCTGCCGTGGGTATTATTATTCGCAGGCGCAGAGGGGCGCGGGAAAAAATTCAGATAAAACTTAGCTATTTCTCGCGCGTAAAACTCGTTTTGGCCATCAGGCTGAAGCTGTACGTTTGCCTGTGTGTCGCGCAGGTGTTGGAGGAGTCGGACACGTCGTCGGAGATAAGCTGCAGGAAGGATGCGCTCAACCTTGAAACGGGAGACTTCAAGACGTCCATAGAGAAGACTATCACGAAGCTGCCGAGGATACAGCACCTCGTGAGTACTTTATTTCCCAAAGCTTATGTCCTTGCTCGCAGAGCTTTGACACTATCGCCGTGCGCGCGCGCGCACCACAAGATGAAGGACGGGTTTCGTATATCCCGCGCGCTTATCTGATTATTTATAGCGCGCGGAAAAACATTATTGCAGAGCAAACGCACGCGTGCCAGTCTTCCTTTCTCCTTTTTCTCTGCTCTCAGCCGTGCCTCAGCCAAGCCAAGCCATGCAAATTCATTATCAACTTGCCCACCTACATTACTGTGCCAAGAATTCCTTCCTAATTCGCGAGCGCAATAATCATAATAAACGAGATCCAGTCCAAATAATACGAATATGAATACGGAAAAAGTGCGCGCGTAAGTGTCGTTTTCGCCAAAATAATGCGGAGCGTCCAAGGATAAATGTCATTAAGCCTCGTTCGTGAGTTATTACCAAACAAAGCGTCATTACAGAAGCGAAACTCCTCACCCTCTGAGATCGCGCCACATGCGTACAACGTCTTTTTCGCCACTTGTTGTCATGACAAATATCCATGTTGCATTGCAGTGCCACGAAGCGGAAAAACCGCCGCCGCCAGCACCGCCGCCGCCACCACCACCGCCTTCGTCGTCGCCGTCGTCGCCGTCGTCGTCGTCGACCTCGTCGTCGTCGTCGTCGTCGTCGTCGTCGTCGTCGTCGTCGACGTCGTCGTCCTCGTCGTCGTCGTCGCCGTCACAAGAATCACGCTGGGAGTTTCCAAGAGACAAACTCAGGTTACAGACTGTCCTTGGAGAAGGCAATTTTGGCCAGGTTAGTAAAGAATTTTCTCTACTTTACACGACTTCCGCCCGAGATGTCCATATCTTTCGTCCATTCCTTTCGGACGAGCGCCCTGCTAAGCTCCGGTTTTAGTCTTTATAGTTTGTCAAAACTGTGCCTTTCTCGTTACGACGTATGCATTTCAGTTTGTTGATTCGTAACATGCTCGATACTTTCATTGCCAATAATTGGCATCGACAATATTTTCAAACTAAATAATTGTCGAGAACGAACTCGAAGAAACTATTTGCTGCGGTACTCATCATTCATTAAATTGATTGCATTGCTGTTTAATGTGGCAATAATAATGATAGCAGAATGAATTGAATCGGTTACTTGCACCATTATCCTTGACTCGAGTCGAAAGTTTAAAATGTGCCACACGATTAGTTGAAAGCAATGCGACGCCTCGCTAAATTGTTCTATTCACCGAAGCCCAAACTATCAGACGAGACATGACACAAAACAAGCCAAATAGTGCAGTAGTGCTCGACGAATAACAAAGAGACAAGGGGAGCCAAAGAAAAGAAATAAATGGTCTTGACTGCGCATTACCTAGGTATGGAAGGCGGAAGCGGATGACCTGACGGGTCACCAGGGCCAAACGCGACTGGTGGCCGTGAAGACGGTCAAGGAGGGGGCTTCGGAACGCGAGAAAGAGGACCTCGTGCGCGAACTGGCCATAATGCAGCGAGTCGGTAGCCATCCCAACGTGGTCACGCTCCTGGGCTGCTGCACCGAACAAGGTGAGTGCCTGCTTTGTCCGATTTTCCGATTTTACGATTTTACGATCATTGGCAGGCTACTTCGGGAAATGAGGGGGGCATTAGAGAATGTTACGTGGCGCTCGTGCATTCTCTGCGCAATTGGGCATTTATAATCGATGCAGTGACATTGCAAAAAGCTTGGGAAACAATCGCCAAGAATCCAGCATTACTCAGCGCGGAAATTTGAGCTAACTAACAATTCATAATTTTAGACGGGTAAGCGCAAGTGAGAGAACCCAGCCGTCCTGTCCTTTTCTCCCAGGAGAGACAAGGGTAGCGACTCGTACGCATCTAAGTAATCAAGCAATCAAGTTTCAACGCGCGAGCGGCGCAAAGGCAGAGAGAGAGAGAGAGAGAGTATCTTGATCGCGACGCACGCTTGGCTACTCCCATGCGGGCTTCCTTTTGCAAGCGCGCGCTGCACACGCAGCTCAGAATTTATGGCCTGCTTGAGACATCAAAACTCCGATACAAACGACTGCCTAGCGGTCAGTTACTTCTCTCTGTCTCTCTCTCTCTCTCTCTCTCTCTCTCTCTCTCTCTGGAGAAAGATAGAAAGGGATCTCCGTGGTACCTACCACGACGCGTCAGAGAGAAGCAAGGAAGACGCCTATGTGTCTTCCACTGCTCTTCTCCCACCTTGCTTGTCGTCCTGATTCTCTCATCCAGTAAATTTCCATTGGCTTGCGATGATGAAAGCGCTCGACTAAAACTTTGGCTTCTCCACCTATTTTTTGCCGTCTAGTCCGTAGTCGAATTGTGCTCCGTGGCGGATGCATAAAAAAACTTGTCTTTACGCCCGTCGATTTCTAATCTTCAAATCGGCGATGAGTTGGCTTGACCTGTGCTGCTCTCACGTTGCCGGACCGTCGAATTGATTTCCCTCAGGCTCTCATTCGCAGAATTATTGGGAACTATCATGCTGAGCGATCGCTCCTGTAACTCGGAGTCGTTTTTGTCGTCTATCTTGTATAGGTAAGAAATGCGTTTAGCAGTTATTATCTATAGATGAATTCACGTCTCTGCAGTCGTACGTTAAACTACTGGCCAAAGTTTGATTCCATCTTTGATTTTATCCTATGAAATTGTTGCGGGTAGACTATTGCTTGAAAAATCAAGAGTTAGTTGTCATGACAGAAGCTTGTTTCTAATAAATCTGTCAATGTAACGGTCGAGGATACACGAGTTAAGAGTGAACGAACTTTGCAAAGCATCGGGAAATGGAAGGCCTGAGGGCATAAATCCCATGAATTAATCAATTAAAAAATCTGTCGGGGACCTTGAATTTGAAAAGCATTATGCGCAAGCTGTAATATTGGCTGGCATGCAAAGTGCATAATAAGCGTCGCGCGTGCGATCGCGATAGTGTCGGACGAAAAAAATGCTTAACACGCGAGAGAGCGCATCGAAAAAGAAAGCAGGCAAGAACGACGAGCGAGGATATATCGATAACGCGCGGTGAGGTAGGTGTACATCGAAATTTCCATGTACACCTACCTACCCAAAGATCGTTCACCTTGGGTAATCGATATACTCTGCTTCTCGCGCGGAGGGCCACGTAATTGCTTTCAGCAAACGCCTCTTTCGGTACACATGACGAATGGTCGGCGTCGTCTCGTTTCATATTTTTACAGGCAACGCCAATGAAAATACGAAACGCCCTGTTCCCATTAGACAGAACGACTCGTCGTGAAGATTGTGAAAATGCCGCGAATATCGCGATATCCGATCAAGGGTACTGTTAGTTTGCCAGATAATAAAGTTACTTTGGTGCTTCTCCTCCCCGTCATTGCGCTAATATATCAATTACGCGACTTCATTTTTTTACAAGCCCGCCAAATGCCTTGAATTTCTCGGCAATGCTGGACACACGTCGTCGAGGATTTTTTCGCTCTCGTCGTTTACTTTTTTACTCGAGTGTTGACGCTCGCACAGAGATATCGAGCCAAATGTCGCTAATATCGTCCTCGTTGCCCTTACCGTCTGATTGTTTTCGAGCCAAACGACACTTCCAAATATTGCTCGTGCGTGGCCTATAAACCCTCGTTTTTTTTCCGTCTTGACAATTTCTCACTAACATTGCGCTAAACGTGATGAATCGTGACTAATTGTTTATTCAATCGAATAACAGAGAGCGTATGGAAATGAGAGAGGAGGAGATATATATATATATATGTATATATATATATATATATATATATATATATATATATATATATATATATATATATATAAGTGTTTAAGTGTTTACTGATCAGCAATCGCTGTTGCTTTATTCTTTTGCATGGAAATAAAAATTGAGATGGTCGCATAGCGTTGCGTAGTTGATAATGAAAGGTAATAGAGAAAGCGAATTGCAAACATGCTGGTATTTAATGAAGTTTGATTAGTTGTTGAAAATAAGAAAGGAAAGAAAGCAAGGAATTGAATGCGCCAGGCGTGTGTGTACAGCAGCCCCAAGAGAGAGAGAGAGAGAGAGAGAGAGAGAGAGAGAGAGAGAGAGAGAGAGAGAAAAGAACACATCTGCCGCGGGGCACGCATGTCCGACAATGAAATAAAGCGCACCTCTGCACCGAAAATATATACTCGCCGTAAATGAACTCAATAAAGAGCAACCCACCTACAACTTTTAACAGTATACGCCTCGAGCGAGCAATTTTTCTTTCCTCGGGCCAACAACCGAGCGCGCAAAGTTATGGCGCGACGTGAGCGCCTTTATGTGTGCGCAAATTTACGGCCGTTGAATTTTCGGCGCAACTTTTTAACGACACCAACGATAAAAAGGGCCTTGATCGTTCCGCACGGGGATTACACGACTGCTCTGATCGAATTGCAGTCCGTGTTATTAGACTTGCCAACGTGGATGGACGACTGCTAATGCGTCCGCGGGCTCAACTTTTATCGTGGCGATTCGCTGCATTGAACCTACGTACTGCCGCGAGTCTGTATGAATTAACAGATGCTTTATGGTTGTAATGGGCTGTTCGGTTTAAGGGAATATATACGCGGGGCTGCGTTATTTAATTTTCTCCTCCTCCTCCTCTCCACTCGTTTTATTGCTGATTAATTTGGATAAGCGATGAGCCAAGTGTTCAGCGTGATTCTTGTTTTAAGCAAAGCGAAGGTCAAAGACAGATTATCCGTAAACATTCGTGTTTTACCAGAGGGGTCAGGATGATCGTGTCCCCACTGCACGTATACACGGACGAGAGGAAACAAGCGCGAAATTGGCACACATCATCTGGCGCGTCCATCAATAAAGTCTATAAATATCCGAGCTCTCTCAAGAGCCTCGGCTATAGGTAGGCATCGGCAAGGGAGCGGGGGCAAATTTGCATGAATCTCATCCTCATTACAAATTCCCCGCATAGGCGCATGCTGGATAGCTATTAGTCGTACGCGAGTGGCGAGCGAGAAGAAGCCCGCATTCGCACACATATCATTACGGCAGTTCTCTCGCCAACTCTCTCTCTCTCTCTCTCTCTCTAATGCGCGCCTGTCACGTCACCATGCACACGCGAACGGCACGCCACGACAATAATCGAGAGCGAGGCTCTTGCCTTCCTTCTCTTTCGCGTTTGCCAGAGAAATTGAGCTATGCTATAATTGTCAGATCTAAGGCTGAGTATTACCATGTTATCCATGTTATAATGAATTCCCAGATTCATTGAACGCCGCCTATACAAGAATGCAAACCATTGCAAATGAATATCAACTGACTCAGCTGTCTCGCACGAGCAAGTGGCTGGCGATGATTTGTGCGCTACGTTGCTCTTTTTTAACGACCCTTTGATGGTTATTTATCGACGCATTAGCCTGCCCGAACTTGCACTTTATCGTCGACATAAATATTCGTAGAAGAGTGCCTCCCTTGCCTTCGAGTGGCAGGTCTGGCTCGGAAGCTCTCGATAAAGCCATTAAAGACAGTCGCTGACATTTGGCTAATTTGGCAGTCACTGGCGCATGCGTAGAAATGACCACTGCAAATATCGGTTTTAATCGCTTTGCAGTGAATTTGTCAGCCGGCCGCGCCGTGCACAATGAGCCTCGCGAGGAGTCTCGGCAAAAATGAAGGCTCGGAGACGTACACGACCTCGCGCCATTGTTCGCCTTCTCTCTCTCTCTCTCTCTCTCTCTCTCTCTCTCTCTCTCTCTCTCTCACTCTCTCTCTCTACGGATTATTGTGTGCGTGCCGTATCGGGCGCGCAACAGGTGAGTCATGGCCGTATGCGCGCACTTGCAGCGAGCGTTCGCTTCGTTTTTTGCAAAAATTTCAACTCGCTCGCCGGGCGATAACAGCCTACGATTCGTAGAAGCGAGATGAACGATTGTCGCAGAACATGATTTTAGACCGGTTGTTCACTCTCGGAACTGAGCCAATCATTGTTGTCATTGGTTTTTGCTTTGCAGAGCCGCATTACCTGATATTGGAGTATGTGATGTACGGCAAGTTGTTGGCCTACTTGAGGGATCACCGTACCAGGCAAGATTTCTACAACTTCAGCGAAGATTCGGCTGCACTCACGTCCAGGGACCTTACTGTATTTGGATACTGCGTAGCTCGTGGAATGGAATATCTCGCTTCCAAGAAGGTCAGCTTCCCAGCTTCATACGTACAGGCGCGGTCGCCTCTTAATGCTCGCCATTGGTCAAGTTCTTCCCTCCGGGCACTCTGCTACTGGCCAGTGCGCAATGTCGTCGCGGAGCATCGCCACATCGCCAGGACGCGTCGTTAAAAAGGAGCAAGGGTATCGATTAATAAAAGCGTCGCGCGAGCAGTTAGAAGAGTTTGTGCCGATTGTTCGGCTAGCGGTCGAAGCGGCGCCCACCCGTCGCGCGCCAGTCGTTGGGAAGGCGGGAAGACCTCTCCGAGACTGCACGCGCCAGATTAGCACGGGCCTCCTTTTTCTGGGCAAGCATTCCAAGTGCGGGGATCGGTCTGTCGCGCTTCGCCGTGCGTAGCTCGCGCGGCTCGCTATTTTTTCCAACACGCCAGCAGTCGGATGGGAAGAAGGAAATCAATGATTACGGTCGATAGGCGCAAGCCAATCGTTCCTTGGCTAGTTTGTTTAGTCAAATGAAAAAAGAGCGGATTGAAAGGCGGCCGTTCATCGACGGAAGGAAAAACGGCAAATCATATGGGAACGAAGGAAGCTAATTAAGTTTGAAGAGCGTTCTTGGCTGCTGGCCGTTATCCTAATCCATGTGAATCCCGATCGACGAAAGTGAGAAAAATAAAGGAGATCGATCGAAAGATCCAAAGACCCGTGCATGCTTCTGATACACATCGATCAATAGCACAAGGTCAGTTGGGCTAATCGGTGCTCGACCATTTTGCAGATCATCCATCGCGACTTGGCCGCTCGCAACGTCCTCGTGGATCACAACAAGCTCTGCAAGATCGCCGACTTTGGTATGTCGAGGTTCGCTGATGAGAACGGCGAGGTGATCGAGACGCGCCATGGGCAACGTAACGCCCTGCCCATTAGGTGGATGGCACCCGAGTCCCTCATCTACTCGCTCTTCACCACCAAGACGGATGTTTGGAGCTTTGGCATCCTTATGTGGGAGATCGTTACGCTCGGTAATATATGCTTCTTCTTCTTCTCCGTTGTTTTCTTCTCCCTTCTACGAGCAAGGCCCGAACCACCATTTCCGAGTGAATGATCGTTTTCGCGGACGCGCTAACCTCGCTCGACATTACCACGCCTGATCGCGATCAATTGCAAATTAATGGACTCGAGTTCTATAGATTTTCCAACAAACTGATGCCAGTATTGCCGATTATTCGGGACTGTATTATTCCGCTTCGAGAGATTTCACGTTGATTACTTACCGAGGCTAGCAAGCTGGCTTCCCCTCGCATTTTACGAATACCTACATCTTTACCGTTAGGGCGTTCTAGTCCAATTTCACCTTGACATTGTCGACTTTATTTACCTGCCTTCGCATTAATCCAACTGACTGAACCTCTCTTTTTATACGAGGGTCACATCCTAAGATAGTTGAACGTTTCTTCAGATCACGTATAATAGCATCAACTTTTCTAAGCACAAACCTTTTTTCTTCCGAGCCGACTACTATTTAAATTGGAATTCAGATGCAAACTAATAATTTATCTCTTGCTAATGGACAGTTAATTTGGAGAAGGTTTTCGACAGTCTACATGGGCGTTACGTCGTGAGATTAAACAAATTTCCATCTGTAGCTGCTCAAGATTAACAGCCACTTTCGCTGTCATCCATGATATTTAGCAGCTTTTTTTCGGCACTTTTGGCCAGCAACAATAATTATTTAGATCTGTTTATGAGATATTCGAATGTAATAAATCTACCTTCTGCAAAAATAACATGAGAAATATCTTGATTGTTTGAAAAAAGCCAAGTAGTCTGAAGGCTTTTACGTTTGAGAAGTGCTGCTAGATTGATTTCCAGTTTTAGAATTGCTGTGTCTGCCGGTGACGTCAAGCCTCAAATTGGAGGCCGTTTCCTTATTTACGTGAGATCAATAATCGAAATAACGCACAAACATTCGGGCTCTCGAGAGCCCGAATGTTTGTGCGTTATACTGTAGCAAATCAGCAGCTTTACAAACTTGGCATTACATCCGGCTCGCAAGTTAATCACGCAATCGTCCACTGACCCAGTGGTTGCTTTCTTCGTCGGGACTTTGAACTGTATAATGCACTGCATTATGCATTGCATTGGTTGGTTGCCAGCTAAAGTACAGTAAGGTGCTAAAGGAAAACAACTGTTTGAAATGTTACAGGATCAACGCCATACCCGGACATGACGGCTCGAGAAGTGATGCGCAGCGTGCAAAGTGGCTACAGATTAGAACGGCCGTCGCACTGTCGAGGCGAACTCTTCCGTGTGATCGCGCGCTGCTGGCTCGCCGACCCCGACCGTAGGCCTGAGTTTGCACACCTCAGACGTGATCTTGCTCAGCTACTCGAGGATAACATGAACGGACATTACGTCGATCTCGAGAGCTTTGCCTCTGAATGCACCGATTAGGTTTCGTCAAGAGAACACACCTACGGATTCGTGCGCATTGTTGATTGATCAAACATTATAAAAATTTTAAGCAACTTGTTATCGTGTGTGATCAGTGTGCTGAATCATGAAAGTATTCTCAAATCTTCGTATGTCGGACAGTCGGGGTGCACTTTTACACAGTCTCGTTTTCATTTTTATACTTACAGTTCTGAAAAGTCGTTGAGCATTGTATTATACTTTAATAATAGATGTATTAAACGATAAGGATGAAGAATCGTAATACTTGCCGTTTTTTAAGCGAAAATCCGACGTACCGTGCGTAATGTTCAACCCCGAAAGTAATTGTTATTCCTGCGGAAAGATAAGATACCGATCAATTTTAATATTTGAGGCTGAAAAAACTGCAATATTTTTATGAATGATGAATCGAAATTGCAATTTAATGCAGTACTTGCAAAAACAATGTAAACGAAATATTTATGATAAAGAAAGCAAGTCGCCGCGTTGTATAGAGTAAATTTTCCAAAGAAAGGCATTAAAACTCGTTGAAGAAAAAAAATCAATGTCATGTGGGTGTTAAACTTATCAAGATGAGCTTGTCAGGAATGTTTTTCTATTGAAATTAGCTTGTAAGTTAAATAATGTCGACATCAGCGATGTCTGCGCCATTTTATCAAGCTCTTCATGCCCGACACGTGTATTTTTATGTATTTATTGGCCGGCGAAGGTGCAACACTTTCAACTTAGAATCTAGATCGTACGGGAAACTTGTGTTTCGTTAATTTTTCTACGTTCTTCGTCATAATGTGCTCCTTTTACGACCAAAACAAATAAATAAAAAGAAATAAAAAACTTAAAATATTAAAAAAATAAAAAATAAAAATAAAAAATAAAATAAAATAAAAGTTTGTACATAATCCACGTTATTCGCACGTCCAAGTTCCACTGGGAATTGCCACATAAAAATTGAACGTTACATCAAGTATTGCATCAGAATTGGAAGTTTAAATAATGAAAATGTGAATGTCATAAAGTAGATAGTGTTTTGTTATTATTGAGAGAAAATTGATGAATTGAAAAAGAATAAATGGACGTTTTGCTCTCTGATGGTTGTGATGTAATTTGCAATGCAAGCCGCGATTCTAGTGGAACAATCCAAGTTGCGCATGTGAGCAGAGCACGTCTGCGATGTTATAATCAAACACGTATCGTCAGAAAACAAATGATCGTTGAGTATGCATCGAGGATTTGCCGATTTTCTGGCTGCGAGTAACACGCGTTTAATTTTAATGATTCTAGTCTTTCCACGCATCTGGGGCTGAAATCAAGTCGCATTTGTTTGTTTATTTGCCTTTTAACAATCGTTATTACGTTGATGGAAGCTCCAAGTTTGTCAGTTGATGTTTTGCTTAGTTTTTTACGCCAATTTATAATATCATTCGATTCTTGATGTAACTCTGTAGAAAAATTCACTGAAAGCTCAAAGCTCAACGTGCGAACGATCAATAATCCGTCCAGGAATAGAACTTATTGTGATTCGCGTACAGATACGTATGAAAATCTTGTAAAAAATATACTTTACTTTATATACAATTGTATGTACTTATTATTAAGCCACTTTTTTGAGTAAACGTTGTCGTATATATTTTTGAAATCTGAATTCTTTTTAAATATCCTTGATAGCAGTCAAGTTCAATTGCTTATCTTCGTGCGGAGATGAAGTTTCTTTGGTGTCATCAATCTTGGAAGTAGGCATTTATAGCATGTACAGCAAGTGCTCTCCAGTCGTGTAAGCTATCATGACGCATCACGATTATACGCGCAGGCAGTAGCGTTCAAGGCAAGTCGCGCATCCGCGGATATTATTCACTTTCGAACGATCATTATTCATCGCCATCTATCGCGTGCGCTCTTATATGAAAAATCACGGTAAAGAGCGCAATTGAAGATGCACACGGCATTATACCATCATGCAAGTGTGCTAGCACCAATGGATGACGCAATTGAAAAAAGCCGCGCAGTAGCACAATCATAAATTTAGCGATGAGCAAAATTCCAATGATCGTGCACAGCGCAAAGGAAAACAAGCAATTGTTAACGCTCGTAACACTTTGCCAGCGTGTTCCTTGCTGGTGTCTAATTATCCGGATGCTGATTTTCGAACGATGGCTCGTAAAATTTCCTCATAACTTTCTTATCAGCGAGCTTTACTGCTCGCAAAAAGGGAAAAACGGCCGAAAGTAGGTTGCTTCGACAGTGGACAACTGTGTCAAGAGTACGCCAGTGCATACATACGCACCGTATCATCCACGTCATCATCGCTGCACGTGTCTCGACAATCAATTCGAAGCGAAATTCAAATTCGACGTTTCATTAAGCCAAACGGAATGACGATCGCGTAGCACGCGATATCATCTCGATCCAGCAACTTTAATGGAACTTTAACTTCATTAAAATCATTGACCACCCAGTCGTCGTTACGCGCGCATTCAAATTATATCCACGGTGCATATCATATATTCATCGTCTCAAGCGCGGCCGAAGGCAGAATCCTTCCCCACAGCTCTGAAAAGTTGTTCTGTATACGAATTATGCTTCAACATTGCCAATGCCACATCCAACTCACTGTCAACAGTGGTAACAGTATTTTTCTTTTTTCGCCCGTTTCATGCTTCTGCTGCCTAAAGTGACCTTGTGCAAATACGCATTTTGTTGTCGATGCTAACGGTCACGTCACTCGTACATCAGATCATTATCTGGATTATTTCAAATCACTGTTAGAAACGTTGGCTACTATTTTTGGAACAATAAATGATTTGTTGCCGACGAATTGATGTCGATAGAAAGAAGGCAGACTACTGCAATCGAAGTTACTACGAGTACGATACCTCGAGTTATTCCCCTCGTAACATACATTCATTTTTATATTTTTTTTTCCATCAATTCTTCTGTACGATTCCAATAAATTGCTTTATAACGATGAAAACGACAGATGATAATTTTATTTAGTAATACGTTGATGGATGATCGCTAAACATTTTTTTGGTTTTTCTCTTAAATTATTTTTGTAATATATTTTGAAAATAACACACAATATAGAATATACTCAGAGCATATCTTAATATCAGTTATAGCAAATATATGTAGTTAAATATGTAATTAGTTTTATTAGTAGGCGTATACTTATCACAATATCAAAATATTTATACTTAAATTATCATAGTAATTTTAAGATTGAACATCTTCCATGAAAATTCGACCAAATCGTTCAATAAAAAACAAGGAGAATGAAGAACTCTATCGAAATAAGAGATGTCTTACTGTTCTTTCTGAATTCTCCTTGTTGATTGGCCAGAGCGCAGAATAGTTCAACGAATTCCGCCAAATTATTGACAATGAAGACAATAACATTTATCTTCAAATGACCAGTATTCTGATATCGAAGTGTGGAGGCCTGCAACACAATACTTGACCGCGCTGCTATCGCTGCTATTCAAAGTTTCTCATTTAACTCAGCAACGAGTTGTTCGCTACTACTAATTGTAGGTATCTACGTACATATATATTTAAGCATCGTCATTGCCACTTTGTATTCAATGTCATTAATTTGAATAGAACTGGGTTCGTATTCACTGGCATTACGTTGGATCCGCTCTCTTAACACATTACTTCTAAAATTTGCTGGCTAAATTAACTTGGTGTAAATTTGGCTAGCGACTATGTTACGCAAACTTTTATGTTCAAAAAGATTGTATCAATCCGATGATAGATTATACGATTTAAAATTACTTTCCTCAAAGGATTTCTCATGGTACTCATTGCCATTTTCGAAAATAACAAATTTGTCCGATATTTTTCTCAATTCGTCACTGAGATAGTTTCCGAGAAAATTTCTGTATGATCATTGAATTTTGTCACGTGACTTTTTGAATATAAGTTTAAACGCCATTTTTCACGCTATTCTACTGTACCGTTCAAAACAGGTGAGAAACGATAGACGGACATGTTTTTAGTTCCTTATACACCTGTTTGAAAATTCTTTATTGCTCACATATAATTGAGCGAACTTTTATTCATTCGTAATATTGCAACATCCCGAATATTATAAATTTACTAGCCTCTATGGCACATCAAAGTTTATTAAGATATGCCGTAAATCATTCATCTGTAATAAGAAAGGAAACGGAAAAAATCACACATGAAAGAACAGTTATAAAAGGAAAGATTAAATAGAATCCCATGTACATTTAATGTCATACTATTTATCATTTTTCGTGGTCTTTTATGGTGGTACTGATCAAATATTATTTTACAGAAGCATGCTGACTTTTCAAATTATCTCGCCTAACACTGAGTCACTACTATTTACGTAATACTTTTGTCATGTGTACTTTTAATTCAGTTCAATTTTCTTGAATTCATTAAAAAACTTTGATTATCAAACGATTGTCCATTGCAACGATGAAAATCTATCTTGATGATGTACGGCTGCAATTTTGAATGTAATAAATAAAATAAATTTGCCCTCTGGATTTCTTGATACTGTGATACGCAGAGAAAAATGTAAATATACCTTCCGATCCTTCGGATAATTGGCAGAAGCATTTCAATAAGTTAACGTGGCGTAGGATATGAGAATAATGTTGATAAATATCGCATTTTGGCATGAAAAAGTAAAATGGCTTATGACGTATGGAGGTGGTCGTCGGCAAAGTAAATTTTTATCGCGCGCGACGCCAAGTCGACACATCCCTCGCTAAATTGCCTTTGTTGCTCAACGCACCCGTCCCGCCGTCCAGCCGTCCAGACAACCAGCCGACACACCCTCGCGCAACGAGCACGGACGATTGACTCGTTGCAGCTTGAAGATCGTTAACGCAAATTGGATGGCATTCCGAAACGCCAGCTTTTTGTTTGCTTCTTAGTGTTGCGCGATGCGCCCATATTTGTTGGCCTCCAAATGAGAACAATGCGTCCGCAAGCTGGATCGAAGATGTGTAATCGACGTTAGCATGACGCGTCTAACGCCTTTGATTACTTGGCGACGCTCGCACATGGGCTGCGGTCAGGTCTAACAAAGGTACCACTTGGATGTCAATCAGCGAGGAGGACTCGATGTCGTGGCTGCAATTTTGAGCCCCTTGATACTTTCTAACGATCGGCATCGAAATCCTCGCAGCTGTGGTTCCACTGGTATTTATAGAGTCGCGCAATGCCAACGGCAACGAATAGAAAACTCGCGTGGACGCGTGTACCCGGACAAGTTGCACTTGGCGGCCGCTCGCGGAACACATCCGAGCGTCCAAGTCTTGCGCCAATCAAGCCTGCTGCGCGTCCGCCAGTGGAATGGCGGAATACCTGATGAGCCGTACCCGCTCCCAGCTAACGAGCATGTCTATTGAAACGAGCTCTAATAAAGATAACACTGCCCGAAGAAAAGTTATCTCCCGTTTGCTCTGTAGGTCCTTTCGATTGTCACTCTTGCAAAAGTATTTTCGTTTAGGCATGGGTTTTGCACTATTTAAAACCGCCTGCTCGCAATTCTCTTGCGACCATCATACTAAGCTTACAAATCCCATTGAAGGTAGAAAGTGGAGACAAGGCCTCCGTTCGTCCACTGACGCAAGATTACGGCATCTAAGGCAGAGGCAAAACTCAGCAACCCTTGCATTAACAAACCGGCAATAACACTTTAGCGTGCACAATAACTTTGGCGTAATAAAGCTTAGCCGCGCTCGGGGACCCATCAGCATAAAACGTGCGTGGGGTCCGTATTCCGAACACGCCTCCCGGCGCTCTGTCTTTGTTGCTCGCGTAATTATTTGACGAAAAAACAGCGCCTATCAACGCCGCGCTCGCTTGTACTCGCTTGCGCTCACTTGCATTCGCAAAAGCAAAAGCGCGCACACTTGACTCACGTTGACTCTCTCTCTCTCTAGTCTAGAGGGGAAAAAGCCTTGAGCTCGTGCAGCTGCGCGCGCTTGATAACGACAGCTCCGCCATGCATTGCAATGGTGATTGTGCGCGATAGTCCCGGCCTCCGTCGTCCTGCTGCTTGTTTTTTTTCCCGTTTCACGCCGGCAAATTGATAAATTATTATCTGCATCCTATCCGGCGCTTGTCTGCGCGCAACTTTGCCAAGTCGAACAATAGAAATGTTACAAGGTGCTCTCCGCGAGATACGATCGTCGATAGCGCACTAATTCAGCGCGAGCTACCACTTGAACGATCGATGCAGACGCGCGTACCTCTCTGGCTATAGCGATCGCACGGCTCACACATTCAAATGCGCGCGCCAGCTGCTGTACATTAGACTTTGACAGCTTCAACTTACTGCCGAGCGCTCTCGCCTCTTTGCGCCTATTATCCTTGCCAATTCTTCCTTTTCTTATGCACTGCCTCTCTGCCCACGCTGCTCATATTCCTTTTCTATAAATATACAGATCACATCAATTTTCGTACTGGCTCCGTTACTTCTGTTTTTTTTTTCTTTTCTTTCCGAGCCTCTTGGTCTCGCTTACGCTGTGTATATCATCGGAAATTAGAATCAGTAGGCAAATCTCTTGGTCGATTCATTTTTCTTTCTACGAAGTAGTTGGAGTGACGTCGTTTGATTCTTGATAAATAAATAATTAGAATTAGGATAAAAGCGAAGGAAAGCGAAAGAAAGCGATATTATTAGATATCAATTCTGACGGTTTTTTATAACAGTCAGAAATAAGCTGCTCGATTGCACGCATGAGAGGTGAATTTGAAAAAATTGGCTGAGAAGATTTTTCAAAAAACATCGGCACGCTGGGCCTTTCAAGAAATATCAATACAAATTATGATCAGGATGATATCTCTTGGCAAACGGTAGACCCGTAATTTCTTCTTTAATTTGTGCTCCGTAACTTATCCAGATAACTTAGCGCAGCATAAAGCAAAACAATGACTACTCGCGAATGACTATTGATTCAAATAAATTTATTCTTTTGTAGCTTTGCAATGTCAGCCTCGAGCAAATTATCTCTCAAAATTTCGACGTGACTAATCGAGTACTAGACTAGCTACATGTATTCTAATACAGACCCGGTCTGCTCATAAAAGTCGTCCCTGGTAGTACAGCGGACACTTCTGTCAAGTGTCGTTTGTGTCCTTTCACTCTGAACAAGTAAATCCATCAACTTAAAGTAATATAATACCTGGCACATAATTACGAGAGCGAATATGAATCTCGAAGCCTTTGCGCGAATCAAGATATTAAAATAAACGACCAAAGAGGATCTTGAAAGTGTGTATCCGCTTTACGTTTACATTATCCTTTATGAGATTGCCGATTGTTTTTATAGTCCGATCTGTGCCCAATTGTTTGTGTAATCAGGACGACACGTGATGCTCTTTTGAGACAGCTCTCAGTTTCTCTATTCGGCGGTTTCTTTTCGAGAGAGAGAGAGAGAGAGAGAGAGAGAGAGAGAGAGAGAGAGAGATGCTTGGACTCTGGATGGGCCATTGACTTTCTGAAAAAGAAAGTTACTGTGTGTGTCTGGGTGTGTTGCAACGACGAGATTTTTTTATTCTTTCTTCCTTTTCCATGGAGATCCCTCTTGCTAATCTCTCTGATATTACCTAATATATTTGGGTTCGGTTTCTATACTTTTATTAAATTACATGAATTTCAGGTTTCTTTTTGTATTTCAACGGACTCTCTTCGCGACTGGTTGGTTGTACCTTCCTCGATAACGTGGGATAAGTGAAACCGCTTCGAGCTAATTCAAAGCCTGAGAATTATCAATTGTTGAAGAGAAGAAATTGCATAGTGAATATGCCAATGAGTACAGTCTATTTTTACAATGATTGCACGCAGTATCGTTAATGAAAATCCAAGAAAAATCATTATCGGGACTACAATATGCATCGAAGTAAATTACTTTGTGAGCTTGAATGCACGCGCACGACCCATAAGCTGACGTTAATTGAATTTACATAAATGAAGTCCGATTAATTTGAGGAAAAATAAGAGGAAAAATCAGACGACAAAAAGGAAGAACAATAATTGAGCTCTCTATCTATGACTTGTCTGACTGTCTATTTTTTTGGTGAAGGGATTTTTCGAGCTGCAGCCTGTGGAGTCGATAAGAAAATGCTGCCCGTCGGCTTACGAAAAGCTTAGTTCTTCTCTTTTTTCTCACTGCGTGTGCTCATCGGTACCCGCTGTGTTAGCATAATCAGGCAAGAAAACAAAGAACCATGCGAAAATCGCTCGACTTCGAGAAAGTCAAAAGAAATATAGACGGTGCGGGAGAACTAATCAATGGAGTGCGATCAATGGAGTGTTCTCGCGAGCGAGCAATTTCCATAAAGTGCGTCTTCTTGGCAAAGCGCGCGCGTCCTAATAACTTCTCTCTGTCTCTCGAGAGTGCTGAAATACGTGTTGCAAGCCGCAAAATTTACTACAGCTTCGTTTAAATAATTGACTCACGCGATCGAGATCCCGAGCTGTATCTTTCACACTCGCTTGGCTAATTGTTTGACAGTGTCGTCGTCCTACTTTGTCTTTTGCCAACTATAAATTACACGAAGAAAGTTTTTCATTTACGAGTTGCGTTCTGATTTCCACGCATCCTTTAATTTTTTGCAAACAACAACAAAATAATAAAGTGACGATCGATCGCTGATCTTCTGGCTAATGAGACAAGTGTTCAGAGCTGTAAAGGAAAATAAAAAATAGCATTGTTTTCACTTACTTTTCAATAGCTCACTAATCGTCGTAAATTAAATCAAGCGCGAATAAAAATGCTCGTAAATGACAAAACACGAGGCGGTGGGAAACGAGGAAGGGATCGAAACACGCGTAAAACTCACCTGAATACTGAAAGCATCCATCAATTAGGAGTGCTTTTAAATACGCGTAGGATCAAGTGTAAATAATGCTAAGAAGTGAAATTCCAAGTTTTGCTTGAGAACGCTTCGTTACGTAAAGGTATTTTGTCTTTTTCAAGATATATCGTCTGGCGTGAGAGGAACACTCACTCATAGTTGATGCACGCCGAGAAAGGCACACATAGTATTTCAAGTGCTGTTGTTTCCATTAACGTTATTCTGCAAAAGCCTCTTATGAAAGGCTGACTTATGTGTGTGTATATACTTCATCACTAAATCCTTTGATTCGGAAGACTTGTCTGAATAATTAGTTGTTTTGAGTTCAGTGTCTATAGACAAATCAATTAGCTTGCTCCTATCTAATCAAATAAAAACGGACCATGTTTCACGGTTTTATAAAAGTATTTTCAATGAATTTACTTACGCACTCGAGCTTACTTACTTACATACCAACTGACTTGTAAAAGTCATCAGGTGCTATACATATAGTTGTTGTTACTTGCAGTTTCTAACCAAATTAGTCAATTTTAAATATTTCATCACATTAAATTATGAAATTTACAATACAAGCTGAAACTTACATATCATATGTAGACCATTAGTATGATACTATTTATTTCGTAGATCAACGTACATTTACGAATTTACATCTTCTAACTTATTGTAAATTTTCCATTTTTACTTCAAGAGCTAAGATTTATAAGAATTTATTTAAAATTAAACAACTGGCATGGTGGTAACCTAGCATGACCTAGTTATTCCAATTGTTTAGACAAATAAATAAATCTATTGACGCGTGCGTGTTTGCGTGTGTGTGTGTGTGTGTGTGTGTGTGTGTGTGTGTGTGTGTGTGTGTGTGTGTGTGTGTGTGTGTGTGTGTGTGTGTGTGTGTGTGTGTGTGTGTAAATGACGATGCATGAAAGCATTTCAATAAAATATAATGATGACTTGTGTAAAAATGAAATATGTTTAAAGTTTGCTACAGTGCGTTAAACTGTAACAGTTGAAACAGATAAACTAAAATTTTTCGCGATCAATCAGTCTTCAGTCAAATACCAAACGTCATAGTCTCGGTAGAAAAAGGCCAGCCGCGGTAGTAAAGAAATGGTCTCGCCTTAATTGTCCGTTAATTGGCAAAAATCAAATAGCCGATTCGATCTTATGGATAACCATTAAGATTTTTAACGGGCGCTAAAAAAGAAAGACTAAAAAGATTGGCCCTAGAAGCAGAGTCAGGCTGCACAAACGATAAGTCATTGCGTAAAAATTTCACTTTTTTTGCAGCTGAAGCCACCGGTAGTAAATAAACGCGCGACCCGAACAAGGTAAAGAGCGCAATACAGGAAGGAAGTATCCATGCGGCGCCAGGAGTAAGATTAGAGACCACGAGAGCAACATCGAAAGAGACGAAGTTGGCGTGGGCAGGCACGCGCGAGAGAGCACAAGAAACATAAATAGAGAGAGAGAGAGAGAGAGAGAGAGAGAGAGAGAGGGAGAGAGGGGCCAGTGGCCGACTTCCCTCTACGCGTAGAGTAGCTCTTTCACCTGCCGACGGTATCACTCCCTCCATCTTCAAGTTTCTCGGTCACGGCTGCTCCGCGCCGCTCGGCCGTGGTAACCGGCTGCTGAATTGCTCCGGCTACAAACAACTTCCACACGTCGGCGACACATCGAGTCGAGCAGAAGTTGCGCTCTCGGCAGACCAGGCTTTTTTCTGACCTACAAAAACGCACGACCGCACGCGCACACCAGTCGGCCAGATCTTCTCTCCCGCAGTGGATCATCCGGGAGTCGAATGCTGCGCGCCAGTCGACACCGAGCTACCGCTGCTGTCGTTTTCTCAGCATGAGGACATCCACCGCCGCCGGTCTCATTCTTCTGGTAATTAGGCGCGAGCGCGAGTCCGCGAGAGAGTCGAGTTAGTGCGAGTGAAATCTTTTAACGACCACGACCACTAGGTCACTCGATCGATTTTTTTTTATTTCTTCTTATTCGCGTGTCTCTCCGACTTGACTTTCTCCCCGTCTTTCTTCTCATCCTCGTCCTCGTCCTTCTCTTCTTCTAATCGCTTCTTTTATTTCTTTTCTTTCTCTCTTTGGCTGTTGCGCGCAGACGCTCGTTGTATCGCTGAGCGTCGGATCTGCCGAAGAAAACGCAAGGGCCGAGCATGAGCTTCACCTGCAGATGGAAGAGGAAGACGAAGACGAACCCGAAGACATTTTGGCGCCGTTGAGGCTGGATCTGAATGCAAGTCTTGTGCACAAGTTGAGCGAGATTCAAGAGGGTGTGCCTACCGTGAGTTCACATCACCATTCCTTATCACGAAGCATGTATCCGTAAGTCATTCTGGTCTGATAGCAATTGCAGGACGGAATGATGCATTAAACATATTTATAGAGCTGCGTAGTCGACATTCTTAACGGTTGTGTATTAACAATCTGCTTATCCGGTTTCTTTCCCCTCTTAATCGACAACCATTGCCTTTTCTTATCTCGCTATCATACTGCATTTTTAACATATATTAGCAATGTGCCGTTCATCATTTAACTAAAATATTATCGGCATGTTGATTGTCAATCAATCATTCGAGTTTCTTTACGACAGCAGTTCGTTTCCGATTATTTTAATGCCGGTAATCCCACCTTTTTGCATCACTCAATGAACTGCAAAAGTTTTCTCGCAAGATAAATAAATATCTGAAAGTTGACTGACTTTTATAGCACAATCTGTCGCATCAAATGGAAGTCAGGGATTCGAGTGAATTTTAATTTATTCTTATCATTTGGGCCTATGATTAAAGTCTCTCTGAGGTCAACTTAACATTGCATGGAAGTAATTTGTTGACCACTGTACTTCATAACAACAATTGTATCGTGTAATCGAGAAAATGCTCATATACAATGACTTTTTGTAATGTTTCATTAGTGCAAAACAATGATCTGGTCTACTAACTACAAGTCAATCGATAATCTAATACGTACATTAATTATAGTAAATGTGATACGCATAGGCAAAGCAAATAACTTAGAGCACAGAAAAGCTGAGAATCTGCACAATAACAATTATATTATTCATCTGTATGTCTCGAATCATAACGTATGTGCATCTTATAACGGCTAGAATAAAACTTTTCATTGGCCACTAAACACAGAAAAGCAAATAAAAAGAAAATAAGAAGCAAAAAAAGCAGTCTCAAAATTAGTAAAACTCGAATCTCTGAACGGCTGGCAAAAGGTACCGAAGGCGCCGGCGAAAAAGCGCCAGCTGCAGTTGTACGGCCCGGTGGTGCCGATAAAGCGGCTGCGCGCGTGGCGACCGCAAAGATCGGTAATGGAAAAAAATGCACAGGTCGAGCCAGCCGTCGCCGTCGCCAATAGCACCGACAACTCCACGGAGCCGTCGTCACGTACAGCACGCGAGAACTTTACGGATCAGCCCGACGATGACGAGCCCGAAGCTTTGCCCGAGGTTCGCTTTTCATTTTATTGCCAACATCCTCGTTGCTAGTTTTGATAAGCCACCCCGTATAGCGCTGCCTCCCTCCGGTCCTGCTGCGTCCTGCGGGCCTGCTTCCTACTCCGTTCTCAACGCTCGATAATAGATCGCGAGAGGAGACTAATCGAATAGCCGATACGTGACGCGTTCGTTCGCACGCGGGACGAACAACGAACGCGCCGAAGATGCGATAAATAGTCGGCTAATTGTCTCGCGAGCGCGCGACCACTTTGCCACATTTACGGGCCGGCTAATTAAGTGTCGGAAGAATTATTCGGTATCCCCGATACCACTCGCTGCTGTCCTAATCGAGTCGTTAGATCGATCGTTCCAGAGACGCGGAGAGAAAGAAAGAAAGAAGACAGAGCACGGCGAGAATCTGATTTTTTCGTACTCTGAGCGCTTGGAACGCTTGTCAAAAGAAAGAACGCCAGTTGAGATGGTGTACTACTTTCAGGCTCTTTATTACTTTATTACGTGTCGCCGAGAGCATCAAGCTGCTTATACATTCGTTGCTTTCGTGCTGTATCTTGCGCGTGGAAAACCGTAGGGATGAGCGGCAAGGGGATCTTGAAAAACGCTAGATTTGATTATTGTACGCGTTATACCTCCAAGTGAAGTTAGAACGGGCATAGACGAGATTCCTCTGCTGTGAATCGGTTGCTATTTTAATGGTAATTGAGGCGATATGATAATTGACGCATTTGCTTCCTGAGCAGTGACGAAAGTTTAACGCTCAGGAAAGGATAATTGTCGCGCGCATTGTTGCCGTGCACACACTCACCGAAATACCGAAGATTTCAACAAGTTGCGTTGAACGTAGAGCGAAAGCACACCTACGATTCCTCCGCGTCCGCGCCCACAATGGAACATGAACGCAAAACCCTCTCGTCAGGCATTTCGCACTCGCGGCAAAGAACAAGAAGGAACGTTATCACACGATTGTCTTGCCAAGCGTTTCTTGTTTCACCTAGCATCGCGCATTGTCTCTCGCCGGCATCCCCGCGCCGCTATTACCGCAGAACGGAAAACGAACTTTCGCACGCACTCCATTGCAGATGGGGATGCGCGCGCGTCAGCCAATTCGCATTTATATCGTCGGCACACATCGCGCTCGACAGAAAACTTTCCATTCTGGCCGGCAATTAGCGCGTGGCGAGCATTTTCTCTCCGCGCGAGCGCGTTTCACGGCTGACCGACCGATTTTAGAGTCCAACCAAACATTCCGCGTTTGCCCATTTTTCCTCTCTCCATGCTCACCTCCATTAAAACAAACGTCCAACGCGTTTACAGCCCATGGAATTGAGGTACTCCAGGCCCGAGCAATATCGACGAAGACCTTACTATGCGCCACCCACCAGAAGATCAACTCATAACAGGAGGAATGTCTATCACGGTGAGCGTACCGATTCTGTGCTATTTTTATTAATTTATGTTTATGGCAAACAATAGGGCAAATAATATTGTACCCCCTACCCCCGTAAATATGTACTACAACCGTTGAGCTAGAAAATAGCTAGATCCGGTCAGACCGAGCTTTACGCGTGCATCCAACGACACTCCGCACTTTCTCATTCGACTCGTTATACCGCGTGTGTGCATGAATTTTTCTGGTTGATTAGTGCCTCCATCCATCCAATTCCAAGTAATCATCTAAATGAGATGCCAGGGTCGGCTAGTTCTGATACATCGACACTTTCCCGTTTGCATATTTGCTGTCCATCGATCGAATACGCGACGAGCGAATTAAAATGTATAAATCTTGTAGGCACTTTCGGTCGTATAAGTCTGTCCAAGAGTTTGCAAAATGAAATCTAATAAAGCAAAACGTCAAGTTATTTTTCTTCTTTCTCGGTGATTCTTTTGGTCGTTAAAAAATGGACAAACAGGATTCAAGTCGTAAAAGAGTTTCACTCGCGATCGATGGAATCAATCAGCCCGCGCGAGTTCAATGAAAACAAAAGTACAGATTTTCACTTTCTATCGGGTGCAAGTTTGATGGAGTGGTTAATTTTTTGTCCGTTTGCTTCTGCCTTCCAGATAAGCCACCACCGGGACGGGCAACACGTCCCACGAGGAGGCCATCGGAGCCGAAAAGAGAACCGACGGAGAACGAGTGCACTTTCTTTTCGAAAACCGTCTGCCTGGAGGCCGTCGATTATCCCATGTACGTACAATTAGAAAATACCGCTTCGACGTATATCATTTGTATTGACACTTTGCTATACTGCACATGTCTCTCTCGTTTTGGTCGCACTCTCTGAAGTCTGTGTGCGCTTTTACCGAGTGCGACGTAGAAAATGACTCGAGACGCGATCGACAAGTTTCACTCGCAAAAGACGCGTGAGTGCTGTAGACACCGATTTTTGTCGCTACTTTGCATAAGTGAACGAAGCTTCAGCCGTTCGAAGTCAGGCGAAATACTTAATTATATAGGTTGGCTTTATCACTCGTTTAAGCTACTTTATATCGAATTTATCGATTTCGAAAAGTATTCATAACTACGGGCATTTCATTTGAAACTCCTACGCGCATTACTCTTTCTTGCTCCCGTTTAAATAGTTCTCGTCTTATATCTAAATAAATATGTTAATTCCACTTTCGAATTTATGCTGATAATCCGTATTGAAGCCTTGAAATATATCATTTCCATTTGGTGATTACTGTAAAGCCATTGAAAGGCTCTTATGCAAAAAAATAGTGGACTGGTGCTCGCTTCGGGACAAGTCACAATAAAACATTGATTTTCTAATTGATTACCAATTAAAAAATGATTTCCGGTTCAAAGAGAAATCATATTCATCTCGAAGACTGAAGTCGACACTCCAGTTCACCATTACCAGCTTTCAAGGAGTAAGATTTTCGAGCTTTGATAATCGCTCGAACAAACAACGATGCTCCGTGTGCTCTTTAAAATTGTTCTGTTTTACGTGCCGCCGCGTAGGGAGGCCATAATGCGAAGCATACGCAAGAACAAAGAGATGGTCGCGGCGCTACTGACGGACATCAAGGTTCAAGACGTCAACGGCGTCTATGAGGAGGATGATGTGCCACAGCCATCCTACAAAACCAGCTACGACAACAGATACGACAAACGATACGAGAGCCGCTTTGAGACCAGCAACGAGATCAAAAGGTGAGCCGCGAATCACTTTCCAGTATTTCTCTCTACGCGGAAGAGCCACGCGACTCTGCGTATTTAAGCCCTCTAACGCGATTCATCCATTCTACTCGAATGTACACCGGGTTGTGGATGTAACGGCGCCAACTATCTGGATGCAAATGACTCAACCAATTGTGCATCTGTTTCCAGTCATTTGCAAAGAATCAACTTCATTTGCTACCTAATGATAGCTGTGAAAACGTAAATGTGCAATAGCCTTGCACCTTCCATTCATGATTTAATTGTCAATAATTGCTCTGTGTGATGAGATTACCAGAGCACGCACGCACACACACACACACACACACACACACACACACACACACATAATTGTTGATTGGAGAAAGTTAACTCGTGCATATTTTTACGATATCGGCATAATTTTCAAGCCTTGCTCACAGGAAAATACGATTTTCCGTTGTAGATATAATTTATCCAGCCATCAACTAACAACTGAACACTTTCGAATAAGTTCTCACGAGTTATTGCTCGTTTCGCGCAAGAAAGTAAAAACAAAAGCAGCAAGTAGCTGACCAAATGCAGTTCATTCTTAAACGTATTAACGCATTTGCAGAGGAGTGCGACTAGAGTCGAGTATTCTCTCATTTCCATAGGTCAACTTGTCGATCAGGCACAAAACCACTTGCCACTCGTTCATTCGTTTAGCTTATACGCAATCGACTACAACGTGAATTGTCTGCTTTGCAGAAAATTCGAGTATCCATTCGAGAACGCAGAGGAAGGATTTACGTGCCCGTCGCAAGTGAAGTACGCGAGACCACAACTGGCTCGTGCAGCTTCGGGTGTCTGGAAGTACATCATCAACACCGGCGAACACACGCAGACACTGAGACTGGAAAAGTGCTCGTAAGTATATCCGCAGATGTATCTTTCGGGTCGTTAGAGCGACGAGTTATTACGGGACTTTCTACGCGTGGATTTAGAAAAAAGAATGAGCCACAGAAAAGTGATGACGTGTATAGTAAGAGTGCATAACGCAGTTACTTTTATGTACATGCACGCCACAGGTAGAACGTAAGTTATATGCAAAATCGTTCCATTTTCTCGTTAGAAAGTCTGACGCCAGGGGATAGTGAAACTTGAAAACAAAAGCAGTTGGACAAGATGTATTAGGTAGTGGCAACCGATTAGCCTCCGGCCGACGAAACAAGGAAAGTGCCGCTTGTCACTTGCTCTCATTAGCCCTTCGAGGCGGCGCCGGCTAATCGCGGGTGCACGGTGCAGCGCCAAGCTCCGCGTTCGGGACGGAAGAAAGTCGGGAAAATCGTGGTTAATCGATGGGGCAGCTTTGGCACCGCACCGGGCGCGCCACTGCCAGCGCGGCTATTACTCAACCGTGGGAAGCGACGATCTATGTCCGCGGGTAAAGCCGCGCAAGCCGCACTCGATTGAGTTGGCATCGAGGAGAGCGTGCACAATCGCCGGTCGATCGGAAGTCGCCGCCGACGGAACGAAGCAATGGAAAGTGCTGCGGGAAGGCGCTGGATCGTGTCGTGGAGATGGGCATTGTGGCTGCTTGTCAACCGACGTGCACTGGCGCGACAAGCGCAGCCGCAGCGCGCAGACCATTTTCGAGCGAGATATCGTCAAAGTGGCTTGTGCACGAAGCCATCGTCGATCGAGCCGTCGCCCGGCAAAAACCGGCCCGCTCTCCGGGCACTGCCTGTCTTGGCTGCTGCTTTCGCCGCGAGCCTGCCGGAAATCGGCGGCCCGTAGCGGCTCGACGCGGCGCCTCTCTCGCACGCAGCCCGTCGTTGCATCAAGCGCGCTGCAGCCAGCTGCTGCCTGTCTTTCGTCATCGACTCTACAGCTCTGCACCAAACTGCCACTTGCGCGCCATTTCTGCGACAGTCATTCGCAGAAAGACAGCTGCCCACCTGACGCTCTTCGGCTCGTTTAACTCTCTTCTATAATGCGTCAAGTCCACTGCTTTTCCGGACATTGCAAACAAAAAACAAATGGATACACTTCAGCGAACATTGCCGACTGTTTGATTTTCGCCGTACGCTCAAACGACAGCCTACAATTATCTGTTAGCAAAGGATCAGTTGCAACAATTGAGATACTGCGTGCTCAACGGCTGTAATTGTAATTATCGGTCTCTCGACGGCTGCACCATGTACGCTCGGAGTCATTTATGCACCTGAAAGTCAGTATTGAGGATCGATTAAAAACTTTTAAAGACAAAAAGAAGTCTTTTGAAAATTTGCAACGGAAAAAACAAGAAGTATCGCCCAAAACGATGAATATTTCATTATAAAAATTTGAATAAGCCAAAGATCCATCGTAAAAAGAAAATGGTTTTGCAGAAGAAGGCGCGCGATGGATCGTGTAGCAGTACCAAATTCATGAATAAATGTATGCGAGCTCAAACGGCGTTCAAGATAAAAGTGACGGAGATAACGCGGGTGCTGAACGCGTGCGGTTGCCAAAGTTTACGACGCAACAGGCTGTTTCGCACACGCGAGCGCGCAACAGCTCAGCGCGTGCAACCTTGGTCTCTCCCTCTCTCTCTGCCCGTTTCGCGCAGCGGCTTGAGATAGCTGGAAGAATTTAACGTCGCTCGTTTACTCATATATATAATCTCTAACCAATGAAAACTGCCCCGGCGTGGCATCATCAGAAAAAGATCGTTGACAATTGATGAGACTTGCCGCTGAAAAAGTAAACAGCACCGCGTTTTTGGCGTGTTTGGCGCGCAGCCTACGAGGAAAGGCAAAAAGATACCGAAAAAAGTGACCTGTTTGGCTAGCCCGGGGAAAGTTTTAAGAAAACACGAGTAAAAGTCGACTAAACACAGCACGCGTTGGAAAGTGAAGCAATAAGCAAGCATCTTGCTAATTGTACGTGGATCTATTGAGCTGTTACAAAGAACAAGCGCAATTTGGCAAAAAGCGAGAAACTTCTCTCTAGTTTTCTAGTGAGCTACGATTTTGCTTGCTGCAGGAATCCGAAGACGCCATGCTCGTTCATCTCGGAAAATTATCGCTCGTCCTGCATGCAAGTCTACAACTATCACCGACTGCTCACTTGGGATTCGAAACTCGGTCTGCACATGGACATCTTCAAGGTGCCGACATGTTGCAGCTGCCACGTACACGGCTACACGGATCTGTTTCCGCCACACCAGACTGATCCACCGTACAAAATGCAAGAGCTTTTTCCTGGTGCTGATTTCGCCATCAACGACCATCACTTGTGTAAGTTTCACGTGACCGTTGAACCTGAACGTTGAATTTGATTTGATTTGCTTCTGCAACCGATGAAATTTCTTGTCTCTTTCAGCCAGCTCGAGTAACATTAACAAATACCCCAATGCCATTGACTCGGCGGCTTTCAATTTGTTCCGGGAAAGCTATGCACCCGATCAGGATGAGACGCAGCTGCAACATTCGAGTAGTTCGCGAAGACCGAGCTTAGCGAAACCGCCGAGGAGAAAACCGTCGAATCCAGCGAGACCCTTCGACAAATTACCAACTCAGCACGCACCTAACACGAGGGCGCCCGGTTACAAAGGTGGCCGACCTCTTAGGCCTTTACGGCCCTTTCGCCGAGAATCCGCAGTACCGGACCTATCGGATTATCAAGAAAACTCGAGCAATATTACGCTTAACAGGTAAATTTCAAGATTTTGCAAGTGTGCAAAAATCACAAAATTGCGATGCTTGTAATGAGACAAGTTGTTAACCCACCACATCCTTTCAAAAAATCATCATTACTCTCTGATTCCCGTTTGTTTCCCTAAGCCGCAACCACGCCAAGGCAAACAAGCTTAAAAACCAACATTTGACCATATCGTTACGTATTGCAATCACGCATAGTAAGAGAAATCCGTAGCAGTAACAATGTTCGCAAAAAGTAGCAAAGCACTGAAAAAAAAGCTAACGATACATTTCGGTGAACCGTAGATTTAGCCCAACGACGTTCGAGCAAGATGCAATGGAGCCGAGCTCACGATTGCAAAACGGTGGCTTCGACGAGGAATACCAGGAGACGCAAAGGCGAGTCAACTACAATTATCATCCCATCATCGACTTCTTCAAGCCAGAAGCGGCCATGTTAAAAGCCGAAGAATCGATGCAGACAGCTGCATCCACCTCGAGCGATTCGTGGAAACCCATTCTCAAGCCTTGATCGGTTTTCTATCATACACTGCGATTTATCGCGATTGTACCTGAGAGACCTCGAATACTGCGATTTAGAGCAAAGGATTCACTGCTCTATATTCACCTTGGCCAAACTTCTTGTCGTGATTCCCCAACATTTTTTCAAAATACTTGCATTCTTTTCGACACTTATTTATTTGTTTTCGCCAAGGCATTTTATTTGTTGTACCTACCAGTATATGATCTATGATAGTTTTCTTCAGCTCGAAACGCTATTTAGTTGTAATTACTCCGTGTAACTCTTTATTTAACTATCGTGTAAATTTGTTTCATTTTATTTATATGTTGTACGATATACTTATCTATAAGAAATTTATCAGATGTGTTATAGGTTGTTTTACATAAATAAATTTATTTGTACGATTCCCTGATAATCGAACATTTTTTTCAATTATCCTTTTCACTCGACCCATAGGCAACTATCAATTTTATAAAATTCGTCATTTCTGCTTGACTTACTTGAAAACAAAAGAAAAGAGCTCTAAACCTCATTCTTTTTTTCGTATACCATCAAACACCATTGGTGTTGATTACTATTGCCGTAAGGTTTCAGTCGAAATGAAAATGCCCCCGATGCAGGCGAAGCAACGCCCATCATAAAACGGGTGAGAAATCGATAAGGGAAGGGGAAGAAAAGGATAACAATAGCTCATCGGCGCTGCGCTCACGTATTATGCTTAGCCGCGCTTTCTGCTTGGCTAGCTACTTGAAGCGGAATCAGTCTGGTGTGACCGACACCGCCACCGCTCCGTTATCAAGTCTCGTCTACGGGAGATGCTTTTTTAGTAGCGGACGTCAGGCTTTTTCTTGCTTACCTTGCCGCTAGAGAAAATATAAATTAGGCTACTGCTGGTGCGCGGCGAACAGTACTGATCAAACTCTCCAACCAAAGTGTTCTTACCGTGAACTTAGCCGATCGTAACCCATTCAGCCAGAGCCACAAATGTAACGCTGACTTTAATCGAACGATAAGCTATTGGGCTCCAGTATGATCCCAGAACAGTTCCTCCATTCCGATTGAAATCGTTATTGTGGTTTCAGTCAGGCGAATGACTTTGGTAGTTTGATAACATCTTTATATTGTCTTTTACGAAGATCAACATGAGGTGATAAAATGGTTCGGCTCCATTCTTTCATACTGATTTTACCATTTTTGGAGTTTTGGACCGATTCAGTGTTGGCGGCAAGTCAGTCCTCAGAAGAAATCAGCGCTATCATTCAATCCTACACAGATGCTTTTACAACGATTGCACCCGTTCAAACGCAACGTGTTACAACTCAGATTTATCCAAGCATTGAAGTACAAGATCGAGAATACGTGCATGATTTAACAAAAGTCAAAAATGGAAATAAACCAGCATTGTCAAGCGTGCCTTTAGCTGATGTAGCCGATTCAAGTTTTCAATCTAAAAGTTCCGAAGAGTATTTAAGTACAGCAGTGGGAGCAAGCAATGAAAGTAAAGAATCCGAAGGCTCCGCTGATCGTGCAATTTCATTTTTGAGGCATGAAAACTCGCAAGTTTTTAAAACAGTCCTACCCGAAGAATCGCAGCGTGTTACGACTCAGCTTTATCCAACAATCGAGCCACAAAATCACGGATATAAGCAAGACTTTATAAGAGCTAAGTATGCAAATAATTCTGCATTGACAAACGTGCCTTTACATGCAGATACTTCGAATCAATACACAGTACTTAAAGACTCGAGTGCATCCGAAGAGAGCGATGACAGTTATGAATCTGGAGAGCCCGCTCATCATCACGTCATTCCATTTTCAGAACATGAAAACCCAAAAGAACCTCCGACTCGTCCTAATTACACAGCTCCTGGTGTTTGGGCAAGACCATCACCAGATAAAAACATAGCCCTCGATTTTGTGCCAACTAAATTATTGGCTCAAGTGCGCAATTCACACACTATCAAACATGTGCCACGAGAATATGCTATGGCAAGTGCAGAGACTAGCGAAGAGAGAGAAAATGCCGCGAGACTAAAAGAAGTTCTTAAAGAGTCGAAGGCAAATACAGTTTATACTGAAGAGGGATACGAAGATGCAGCTTACGATCACGCTGGTCATATTAGAGACGCTGATTTTCAAGAAGATTTCGCGCGTAAATTGAAGGAAGAATCAGATGTAAATAAATCTTATTCTGGTGGCATAAAGCATCCAAAAACTTACAAAAATCATAAGCCTCATAAGCACAGGGATCATAATCACGGTAACTTTTTTCAAGCCAATAAAAATCCATCAAAAACTGCGAAAAGAGCGAAAAAGTCAAAACAGAAAATTAACCGAAAACACTATCGACTTTTAAGAAATGTCTTAAATCAACCAGTAATAAATCCGAAACTTGCCATTGAAAAAGGAATTATTGGACTTGAAAAAGATCTAAAACATGAGTATCGCGAGGCGCAACTTACATCTACGGAATCATATATCCATACAACAACGGTAACGCCTACAACGTTAAAATCACCAGCAACAGAATCAGCTTTTCAAAGCAAAATGGATTTTGAAACTACTACGACGAGACGTAACGTATTTACAATAAGACCAAGAAAAACCGTTGTTACAATCACACCAAAATCTCATCGTAATAAACCAAAAAAACCATTGAAAGTTTTCTCAGTATCTCCAAATATCGATCATTACAATACCTATACGACAAGTACATACAATTATGAACCTACACAATTATTTAGTACAATTGATTATGGAAAATTAGTATTAGGATATCTGCCACAAAATCAGAATTCTACACCAACGATGACATATCCATCTTCTCATTTTGAACAACAATCTGTAAATCCATTAGCAGTTGCAACAGTTAATGGACATGGACCGTATCTTGTAGTAGTAACAGCTGCACCAGAAACATTAACGTCAAGCCCTTCAGGAAGTCAAAATTTAGTAAGCTCTGTAAAGTACAGCGCAGTCAATGACGACAACATAACTCAACCAATTTTAAATAATATTCGTCATAAGGAATTTATGCCTATAAATGTGAAAACCAATCGTGGAAATTATAATAGTGAATTACATGCTATTCCTGCAAATACTGACGTTTCTGGGCCAGTATTTTACAATAAAAGTGAAAATAGACATCATGGAAAAAATCCTAAATCAACAAAATTCAAGTCACAATCATTCCCAGAAGGTAAGACAAATTATAATGAAGGGCACAAAGACAGTTACATGAAATATTATACAGAATTGCAATCTTCGAAAACGTCTAATATTCCAAATATAAATCCAAATTATAAAGCTAATGCAAATCGATTCAATCAATGGCCCAACCTCTTTGATTCCACAAAACCAGTAGAAGGTTATGGATGGGATAGTATTGAACGTCCACCTAGCGAGTTGAAAAAGATAAGAGGTGCCTCGTTAGTCACTAGACTCCTTGCTCCAGCACCACTTAGTACTAGTGAATATGCGACTTTCCAGAGACAAAGTAGAGAGGTTAAACCAATGACGCCTGCTGTAATGGAAATAATGCCCATAATCGACGCAATTCATAAGCACGAGTATGAGCAAAATTTGTTTCCTTTTCGTTTTCGTCGAAAACGATCAACTTTTGGATTTTTTCGTTCACCTAATTTTAAACCTAAAGGACAAAAGGACGAAGGAAATGATGAGAATAAAAATTTGAGCCAAAATTCAAGTAACAGTAGTAGCATAAAATATCCGATAAATTTTCAGTCTTTACTTGATGAATCAACGCATGTTGCGACTAAAGATGTAGATGCTGAAATAAAAAAGCATTTCGAAAGTGATACTAAAGCTATTTCGAAGAAAGCATTGTCTCAGTCATCCGAAGAATTTACTTCAAATAAAAATACATCGTCAAATAGTAAAGAGGACTTCAAGAGAGATGAAACAGTAGAAGTTGAAATACCAGAACTGGACTTTACTAGTATTTTTGAGAGAGATGAAATTCAGCCTACAACGAAGGAACTGCGAATTGATAGTAAAAAATATCCTTTTTATAGAGACAGCAGCACATTGAGGAATAGTGCTTTGAAGTATATCGTTAATCCAAAAGAAGTTCCTAAAAAAACATTAGGTGGAATGGAATTTTATAATTCAAGAGTATTAGAATGTGAAGAGATCAACCCAGATCTAGAAAAAATTATACCCGGAGATGAAGAAATCGCAAATAAAAGGGGACTACAAAAGAAAAAATCGAGACTTCACGGTTTGGGAGATAAAATAGACTGTTATAAAGCAAAATATTTTGATGAAATACCCTTTGATAATCCATTATTTTCTGAAAAAGACGTCGAAATGCCCCATCCTCCAATAGAGTTAAACCCAAAAAAATTTGCCGCCCGAATATTAGAACTTCCAGCAGATAACGAAGAGTACACGATTCTGAAAGGTCCGAAAAATCCAGAGTTTCTGAATCTTAATCGAGGATCAAAAATAAGACGTCCATCTAGATACCATGTATCTACAGTGAACGTCAGACAGCATTTACATCCAAAATTTAGGAAGTCAAATTTATTAAACGCCAATACCCCAAGGTATCGATACCTATCTAAAAGTCCCATAAGTATCGATGACGGAATGAGGCCACCTGATCCTAGATCAAAAATGAAAATCAAATCAACTAATTTAAAAATTGTACCTCGATATCAACGTCTCGTATATGAAGATGTTATGGGAAATATAATGAATTTGGATAAATCACAGAAATCTCATGTTCCAAAACGTGGTGTTGCTCCTTTGTATTCTAAATATTACAAAATAGACAACAATAGAGAGCACGGACTTGGTGGATCCAAAAAGCTAAAAACTGTAAAAATTGATGGTTTAGTTCCCCCTCCACAAAAAATAGCTGATAAATTAGTTAATAACAAGCATAGATACAAAAGAAATACACCTTTAAAGGATTATCAAGAACTGTTATCGGAAAAAAAAAATACAACGGACAAGGCCACATTTAGAATAGTTTTCACAACATCAGCGCCTAGAAGTATATTTTCTGAAAAAAAAAAGACATGATTCAGACAAAATAAATACGACTATAGCACAAAAGACCAATCATGCCGTCAACCATAGTTTAAAATATTCGAAAAACTCGAAAGCCGATTCAGGACATTACGGTAAATTTTCAACAACTGAGAAAATCAACTCATCTACGGCAACCAGGAAAAAGGAACCAAAATATAATTTGGCTGAAAAGGTTAGTTCGCCTAATAGGACGTCGATTATATATAAAGATTCTACATTTGCAAATTCTACTTTAATACCAGTGATGGTAAATTTAAATGAAAATTTCACATCACGAACACCAAGAGGAAGTAAAAATAATCAAGCCAAAAAACAGGTTACAGAAGAATTTGATCACGGTAGGTATTCGGATAAACTAGGAGAATCCGATGATGATAATTTAGATCCATCAAATGAACAGGAAGAAGATCCAAAAAAAACAATTTATTGTCTTCAATCCTGATCAAGGTCCAGATAAAAATAAATCAAACGATGTTGCGATTACCAAATATTCCTCAACACCTAGTACAGAAAATCATGAGGAATTAGTAGAATTTCTGAAAGGAAATCCACCAGGATATGATGAAGCATTTGCAGAAGAAGATGACGACACCGATGATGAGAGAGAAGAATTACCCTATAAGGTAAAAGGCAAAGACTCAGATGTGAATGGATTGTTAAGGAATAATGAATCTCATAAAGAACATTCAGATACGCAGGAATCGCCAAATAATGAAGAAAAAGACGATGATATTACGGAATCAGAAACTGAAGAGAACGAATCAAATAAACCTAAAAAAGAAATATACGGAGAAGAAACAGCAACTGATGATAGCCCAAGAGAAGTAGAAGAAAATGTGCAATCGGATGATGAAGAAAAAAGTTCAAATGATGATGTACAAGAAGACAAACCTTTTGTCAGATTCTCATCAAGACCAGAATCGCCATCCGAAAATTTTGAAGATGAAAAATATTCTGACCTTGGACCTCGTGTTAATAAACCGTATTTTTATCATCCTCCATTTGACATTCCTACGTATGAAAAGTATGCATTAGGTAAATCAATACAAGATCATAATGGTGATGATTATGGACACGAAGAGACTGAATATCATGAAAAATACGTATTTCCATGGGCACACGATGATGAAAAAGAAGACAATAAAGAAGAAGCTGAGCATTATTCTGCATTTTACCATCACGAATATCCATGGGAAAAAAGAGAAAGACGAGAAAGAGAAAGACATAAAAGAGATAAGATACATAAGAAACAGGGTAAGAAAAATGTTAATCCAAATTATGATAGTGATAGTTATGAGAAAGCCAGCAATGTAGAGTTAGTGTATGGTCCTACCATAAATAAGTATCTACGAGGTAAAAAAGATGTTAATTCTTTGCAAAGTGATCCAGAAAATCATTCATCTAAATTCAGTAGTAAATATAAGTCAGAAAAAACAGAAGATCCAAAGGGAATTGAGAAAAATGAAGATGACATTCATAAATCTATTTCAAAGTACGTTAAAAATATTGATATATCAACACCTAATACTGATGCATTGGTAATAAACACGAATACGCAAACACCCTTTACTACTCTAAACTCTTCTAAAGTTGAAAACGTTGGTAGAATTATTTCAACTACAATTTCACCTTTCAACCGATCTCGGGGAAGAATACGAAGAGTTAATAGAAACAAAAACAAACATAATGATACTGTGGTATCTGATGAAAATCACATTTCTAAAGTTAAAACCACATTATCATCTAAAATAACTCGTCAGAGAGGCCGGAATAGGAATGGTGCCACAATTCTGATTACTACTACAACCGCAAAACCAAGCAGTCGTAAAAGGAGCCGACAAGTATCTGCAACGAGAAGAACTCGAACGACGACGCCTAAATCAGTAAATGAAGCAAAGGAAAAGCGAAGAAGAGCATTTCGAATTACAGCATACACAGGCAGTAATACAGAATCAACAACGCCAATAACTCTACCTACTTCCACAGGCAGGACAGTACAGCGAGAACATCGTTCTAGGGTTTCCAAAGAAATGATTATTACTAAAACAGTCGAAGATAATGATGGTGATGATCAAGATGAAGACTCTGAAAAAAATATTTCAGGTAATGCTAATAAAAAACCTCCATCTAAAGTATCAAAAGCTATTCGTTCTAAAAATAGACAAGAACAGCAAATTAAAAATAAGTCTGATAGTGAAAATCCGATGAAGAAAGAAAGAGTCGAAAAGGTAACAATAACTATGGAAGAAACGCCGGATCACGTTTATGAGACAAAAGAAATCGATAAAGATGGTATTAAAGGGAAATTCATTACAATTACTACAAATAACAATTCCGTCAAAGCTGTACCAACTAAACGCACTCGAGGTCGTACTTCTACTATCGATGATGCAGAAATGGAAGAATTGCAGAGAAAAATGGAAGCTTTCCAATCGTTCGATAGCGTTATTCAAGATACCGAAAATTTAAGAGATGAGCCTAGCAACCTTCACATGGCTGAAGTAAGTCCCCTCTCACGTAGACACAGAGCAATACACTTAACTACACGAGGATTTAAACATACAATATCATCAATAACTTGGGATACAGAAAATGACAAATATTCTAAGTAGAAAATAATAAAAATGTTTAATAACATATTTTCGCTCCATTGCCGAAACGACTTGTATAATTAACGATAAAACCCACTAACACATTCAGATTTTTACATACCAACTTGTTTATTGACGAATAAATACTTTTCATTTTTTAATCATTTTCAGAAATATTTAGTAGGGAGTCTACTTCAGAAGCTACCTTTACCATTGTCTAGAACATTTTCGGGCGAGAAAGAAGATAATAAGACTGAAAATGATGACAATGAAAATGAAAATGAAGATCAGAGTGAAGATTACGATGACGTTGATGATAATGATGACGAAGTCGATGAAAACGATAGTGAAGATACTGATAATGAAGATTCGAATGATAAAAAAAGCAACGAAGAAATGTCTCGAAATAATAATACGCAGACGATTGAAAAAAATCCATCTATAATAAAAGATCCAAATAATAGAAATTACTACTATGTTGAAACGTCCTAAAAAAATTATCGAGTATTTTTTACCTCTGTGGATGCTTGATATAATCAATATTGATAAATTTTTTATTTGTCAGCAAGTGTGAAGATATAGATTCTTTCTAGCAATATGTTTAGTAATGGTCTAAATTCTCTATCATCAATAGAGAGTATGATTAGCTCTCAGAAATAGACAATCAAGAACTCATTAAGAAATTGGTATTCAAATATTCTATAATATTTGACTGAAAAAGCTAAATAAAGATGTGTTTAATTTAGGATCTCTTGCTATAATATTTGAACACGTCTTCCTCAATGAATTCTTGATTGTTCACTCTTGAGAGTGAATGATATTTTCGATTGGTAATCGTGAAACTGAAATTATTATTACTATTCGAAAGGATCTTTGTTTTCACACTATTGACAAACTAAAAATTTTTTAATAGCCCTAAAATTATTTGTACATTTTCATCATTTTGTATTTTTATTTGTGATTAATAATCATGAAATATCCTTATTGTAATATTCGTAAGCTGATGATGAAAGGATACATTTATTTTCATGTAATGTAATTTATGTTAATATTTTGTAAATAGATTTAGAAAAAAGCACTGCAAAAATTAATATAATTGTATTGTTCATAAACGTGAATTAAATAAATAAAGAGCTATGACATAAATACGTTTAATTTATTGTCATAAAGCAGAGACTAGTAAAATTGCCTTGAATATTTATGAGATTGATACATACTTATTTGAAGTAGATTGTAAGTTATGTGATGTGCAAATTGAGAAGAAAATAGAATTATCTAGGCACAATCACGAGCTTAGTAATTTATTAATTAATCGTGGGGCGTTAAAAATGTATCTTTTCGCATGGACAATCAAGTACGACTCGGTGACAAAAGTAAGCAGGATAAACTTATGGTCAGAGAGAGCAGGCGAGAAAACATTAGACGCATGGGAGCCTTGATCCGCAAGAAAGAGGAACAAGCAGCCATAGTTGTTTGCGTGAGAGGCAGATACCTGTGATCCATTCTCATGCATCAAGGTCAAGGTAAATAATTCTTTAGAATCGGAGTCCGCTTGAGCGCTAGGACTTGAAAGGAAATATCATTGAGCCCCCAACTGGCCTCTGCGTAAACTCTATATAATTCGATCTTTGCACCGGTTCTCGCGCGAGTCGTTGTATTCTTTAGTTGCCAGCTGGCATTTGCACCTACAACATGGCTTTTGAGAAAGTGAGTGTAATTTTTCATGACACACTATTGACGGCCCGAGCAGAACGCAATCAATTAATTATTCACGGGCTTCAGTCGTAAACGCACCTGCTGTCAAATATAAATGACTATTTGAAATCGGCGCGCACCGAGTCTTTTCTATCAAATCAAAGTCAAAGCGTCAAAGTCGTTGCACAGAGCAGAAAGAACCAACGCGTGCATTGCAAAAAATAATAACCGCACGAACGACCGTCGGGCAATAATCGACTTACGCAACGCGAAGTAGAAAGATTTTTGGGCAAAACGCTAACTAATTGAACTTTCTATTGTCGGCCGTGAAATAAAAAGCAGCGTGCACTTATAGGCCGGAAATCAGTTGCCTAGACTTTCTACTGTTTTTACGCTTTGCGCTTAACCGAGCACGCTGTCGCCTAGATCATTGCTGCTGTCGCCTTGGTCATGGCAATCTTGAGAACAGGACAAGCAGCGCCAGTGCCCGATAGCGCAGGAATAGTCCCGATGCCCCCTGGCCTTGCCTACGGTAAGTGTGCTTGTGCCGTGTGTTTCAAATGTGTCAGGGTTAGGGCAGTGCGCGAGATCGACGAATGCGTAACGTCATATGACCTGCCTTATCATTCTATAAGTATGTTCCCGGTTTCAGGCAAGTGTGCTTTTGTTCCATCGTATAAATTGTTCAATAGACATTATGAGCTGTTTTCTCATTTCAATATGAAATGTAGAAGAGTACATGTATCTCATCACGGTCAATGTTATTTAATTTATCGGAGCTTTTCTAGCTTTCTCATTCTATTTCGATAGAATGCAGCGTAGATGTATTTACACATCACTCATTTAATGAAACACGTGGCGTGGCTGAAATTTGCATTCAAGTAAGTTTTAACCATCATTCTTCTTTGGATGCCGTGTCGTTTATTTATCCAATCTTGGGTTTCTGCACATCAGTCGATAAGTGAAACACAAAACACCATTACATTCTGTCGCATCCAATAGTTTCAAACTACGATCACAGATCGCTCTAGCAGTCCCATAAACTTTTCCCTGAGATACGACAGCTCCGCCTTAACTCGAGCGTGCGCTATACTGCAGCCGAAGGACTTCCTTTCACTTTTTCATGTGAGACTAGCGTTCCTTGCGCACACTTATAAGAGGTAGCTAGGTGCGAATCTCGCGTGATGAAATGCTCGAAACGCAGATTTTTACGCGATTAGCTTTTGGAAAGGCCTGAGCGTCTCTCGAATTGAAGCTTCGCTTGCAAACAACCATGCAGAACGGACAATTTTACTACTTGACTACACACAATTTTATTAATAAACACAATTGCTTCTTAAATCCACACACATAACCACATGGAAATTTGTTGTATATCATGAGAATACGAATACAGGTTATTGAGAAAATACAATCAACTATCTGCTTTACTTTATTTCATTGACGTATGTTTTCATGTAGACATTAAAACAATGAATAAACTTATAAACAAGCGAAAGGGTCTTCATTTGTTCATTGCTTGTTCCATATTTTCCAGCTTACAAAATATGCATAACAATTTCATTCTCACAATTGATTGTTTTGAAACTGATTTCATATGTAAACGAGCAGCAACAACTTGCATTTTCCTATCATCCTTAAATAAAGTCATATATCACTTTTTCAAAATAATTAATTAGCAAATGTTCTTAACGACCCTTATTTGCTTAAAAAAATCAGCCAATCGTATGGTCTAAAAGTCATTGTTTACATAAGCCGTAGAGACGGCATTGTCGCAAGAGTCGCACGCGTATATCAAGCCAATTAATCATTTGGTTTACATCGTTACAGGTGGTATCCCATACGGCAGTACGAGCGGTGCGTTGGCGCATTACGCGCCAGCACAGGCTTATTACCCGCAAGATGGCCCACAGGAGTCGGCCCTTGTTGCTACCGACACGGGGACCATTCCCATCGTCAGCCCTCTCGTTTATTAAGATTTACGATAAATTAAACAAGACCGTTGGTCGTGTTCAACTGTTGCGAGTACATACTTGTCATTGATGTCGCGTCTCGCGAACTATGTCGGTTATTTTACATTGGCATTCGTATAAAGCTACAAGCATCATACTTTATTGTAATTTATAATTGCGCGTTCGTTCAAACTCCAACTTGTTATGCAACTTCCTTCCTATTCGTTCGCAGGAACATGCCTACGTGAGTCATAAAGGGCATTATAGAAAAATGTCAATTTCGATTGTTTTTCTTATTCAATAAATATCATATTATTTATTATATCGTTCAATAGGAATAACATTTGCATGGATCGCTAGCCTTTGCTTCAATTAAATTCTCAGCTGGCAATAATCAAATCAATGGGAGACTGGCCGGTATAAATCGCTAAGATTCTGTCGCAGATAATATGTATAATTTTACTTAAATTTTACTGCGTGCGCTCGCGGTCGCTGATTATGACTGTACCGCTTGAAAGTTAAAGAATAAATAAAAGTATTTCGTCTGTGAAGTGAAATACAGTTATCCAGCGTTAGAAAGATCCAAGCAAATGTAAATTTACTATAAGCTAGAAAATTAATATAAAGATGACGAGAAGGAGCTTAGCAATAAATAAGAGACGGAATCGTACACGATTGTGTAAATTCTCGCGAAGACGCACGATTTTGGGATTTCAAACGATAAATTGTCCGATGAGAGCTACGCAAGTGTATATAGGCAGACAGACAGAGTCGATGAGCCGTCGCCGTGAGCGCGCGCGCGTGTCAAGCGTAGAGCCGTGAAGGACGACCGCTTTGGCCGCGACAGCGCAAGCTTTTGGACGGGAGAAAAGGAAAAAAATAGTCGACAGCGACGAGAAACCACGCCACGTCTACTCGATGCACTTGCTCATTCATAAAAAACCACGCCGATGCACTTTCGCGCGAGCCAACAATTTTCAGACCGTCGTAAGTAAAAGCCGTCGTAAGTGAATTAGCAATTTGAAATTGGTGCTTTCGGCAAGCGAGAGCATTATGACAATCGCCGAACAATGAGCCGTGACAAACTCGTGAATTTTTAGCGTCAGGCAACGAAAAAACACATAAGGCATTTTCTCGGGAGAAGGTAAGTCATTTGAAATCTTTCGCAATGTCCGCGAGAGAGTTGGCGTACGTACACAGACAGCGCGTGCGTGTGCAGATTGCGACGCGAAAATCGTTAGACTCGCATGGCTCGCGCTTTTCGCTTTCCACGCCCTCGCTTTCCTGCTCGGTGGAGAAAAGCAGCGCGCGCGGCGACGGCGGCACATCTTTCTTTCTCGTTCGCTCGGCCGACCGCGACGTCGCGTGTGCCTCCTGGTTATGCAAAGGAGGTCATTAGGTGTTGCGTCGCGAATAGCCTCGCGCTCGCGAAATAGTTCTAACGACGATGGTGTTTGGAGAAAGTCATACACTGGCGCAGGCTATTTTGCCACAGAAAAGTCGCACACCTCGGCCGGTCTTTTAAAAGTATACCTTATGTGATTGGCGCCGGCTTTCCCTAACTACGGCGTTTCGCGTAATATCTCGTTTCGCTGAGCTTCGTGGCATTGATCGGGCTGTGAAACTCAGTCTCGGATGCTTCTCGACTGCTTTCATATTTTTTTGCAAATTAGGAATTCCGGGTAATGGGGGTAATGGGGGTAATGGGGCAATGGGGTTGATAACGTACTTCTGCTACATCTCCATCGATCGAGAGACATTCCTCGGCCTCTGTTTGTCTCGTGCAGAAAAAACAGATTACAGAGCTCGTTGAAAAAATATGCTCGTCGCGCACTCGTGGCAAATGGCGTTATTGGACGCCGACTGGTCGCTCGCGTTCAAAGCGATTGTGCGTCGCGAACGAATCTGGTCTAGCTCTAGTCTAGTCCGCGGCCAGGACGCGGCGGCGAGACTACAATGCACGCGAGTGGACCGGCCGGCTCGGCTGCTTCCTCGACGAGGACGACCGGCCGCGCGCGGTGCGTGGAGGGGTCATCAACTTGGCGTACTTGCCGCGCGGGTGGACGACGTCGTCTCGAGCGGCTGACGGCTAACAATGAACGCTCCTTTTTTCCTGTTCAGCCGCGTCCGCAACCACGGAGAAAGTATAAATGTGATCGGGAGGCGCGTGTACACCTTAGTCGCACGCGAATCTTGGGCACGATGCATCGCTCGACGCACGTAAGTATCAGCACTCGCAAAGTCGGCTCCGTCACGGGGCTTCTGCAATTGGTGCAGCAGCACGGCTGATTGGTTGCACGATGTCGTTCCGTTCGAATGCCACGCAACCGATGCACGATCGACGTCGGCAATGGTTCGGTTGGCTTCTTGCCTTTTAGTTTCGCAACTAAACGAGCAGCGCTCGATCATTCGTGCTATCCGCGTATGCATTTACGTCGGATCAGCGGCGCGTCAATGAAGAATGCACGAAATTCATTGATCGACAAGCGATTAGCCCGATGATGATTCACGACTGGGACGGCGCACTTTGCACAAACGGACGCGCGCAACAACGACAACAACGACAACAACGACAACAACGACAACAACGACAACAACAACAACAACAACAGAAATAACAGCAAAGTAAAGCTCGTGAGAAGCGGCGCACCTCGCCTACCACTGCTTCTATCTGCACAACCAGCGGTCGCTCGCGATGATGACTCATGAACGGTCGAACGGTACAGGCACTCCTCAGCTGCGTCGCGCTGCTCAGCCTCCTCTGCAACGCGGGTCATGCAGATGCCGGCAAAGCGCCTCCGCGTAAGTCCAGCTTGCTCAGGGCACCCCAAGCCAGCCACCTTCAAAGTAGAGTCAAACTTGTGCTTGTTCTTGTTTGCCGTCAGCATCGGAGGTGCTTTCGCATTTCGCTCGCACGGTCGGCTCGGTGCTCGGCCCCACTTTCAGCGCGGAGCTGCAGCGACCGAACCGCTCGGCCTCCTACCAAAGGTCCGCGACAACGACGCCACGTCAAGTGGACACGAGGCAAATTTCATCTCGGAACGCCGCTGGTAATAGTGCCGGCGACGAGGGGAAACGCGGGAGCAGCCAACGCTGCAGGCAACCTAGCGTTTCCAGGCCAAGCTTTCCCTTATCAGTACGAGCGCACTTACAGCTACAGATATCCACCGTTCAGTCAGCAACTCTCGCAGAGCTTCTTTCCTGGAGCGAGCAGCGCTTTCGACAGGCAGCTGCTGCCCAATGCTGGCTTACCCTTCGATCCGGCACTTTTCCAATCGCAACCACGTGGAAACCCCCAGTTAGCGGCGGCCGACCAACAAGGGCCTGCCGGTAAAGGGGTCAGTGTCAGTGCCAAGATGGCCGAAGCCAGCGACGGCAACGTCAAGGTATCGATCGAAGCGTCTTTTTCCCAACACTGGTAACAGCTCGCTCTTTGCTTTGAATCGACCTGCAGGCAAGCGGAATCGGTAACGTCAACACTCTTGAAAATCTGGAATTGAACGCCGACTCGAAGTCGAGTGCCCAAAATCGACCATTCGACAATGCCGATTTCCCGTCGATACCGAACGAGCCCGGTCAAGCGGGTGCTAATTTGGGCCTGGATCCCAACGGAGGCCATTTGCGCGTAGATAATCGCTTCTCGGCTATCGACTACGAGCGAATCAGACAGAATTACTACAGCGACCCGCCCATAAACCAACGCTACTACTCGTCCTTCAATGAAATTCCCTTTTCCGGCGGACCTCCTTACAGGTCACCCTTGCCCGAGAGATTCTCCAATTTGGATTTCAGTGGCGTCAACGGAGCTGGACGTGCTGGCGGGCCATCGTCAGATTCAAGGTGCAGCTCAAGCACATTGTTTTCGTAATCGAAAGAAATCAATGAGACAAGTAACGAGTTGATGTTTAGGCTGGGCAACGGCGGGCTTGGACACCCGTACTTTGCGAACTTCTTCCAAGGCCCCTACCAATCGCTCAATTACAACAACATACCAGGCGGTGGGAACGGCGCAGCCGTAGGCGGCTCGCCTAATAACGACAGGGCTTCCTTCGAAAACTTTGACCGCGCTTCGCAAAGCTTTCGCTCGCCCTTCGGTCTGCAATACCCAGCTGGTTTTGCTGGTCCCGGCTCTGGCGCCAACTTTCAAGCTCTCGGCGTCGGTGCTGACTTTGGAGCTCCTAGTGGCGATGGAGGCTTCCTTCCTTCTGCTGGCTTTGGCCGTGAAGGTGACTCGTCATTGAGAGCTTCCACTTCGAAACAATCGGTTGCTCGACCCGTGGCTCCGCAGAGCTCCGAGGAAAATAGGCCGAGTATCGAGCAGTTGAACGGCAGCGATGAACGCGAGAGGATAGATCGCCAGCAGAAAGTTGGTTTTGTCGACAACAACGACAAGCCCACCAATTCCGAGAGACGAGAAGCTTCAGTCGGAAATAATACGCGATAAACTTATAACGTGCTCTATACCGTTCATCACAACGAGCTCGGTAAACTTTCATATGTATCAACTATTTTCTATCGTTATTTAAGCGTATCATTATTAACTAATTAGGTATACCAATAAATGTCTTCCTATACATTTCGTTTTATTCATTTCCTTGCCGCGTTCATAGACTTTTATTTATGTAATACAACGATCGTTATTGACAATTGTGTTCATCGTCGCTTCAAAATTGAGAAATTATAAACGAACAATTGAAGATTCGCCTGCACAAATACTTAGCTGCCACACGTTGCCCTTGCACTACCGACGGCAGTCTATGATGTACGAGAATTATTACTGCAAACAGTGAGATGTATGCTTTATTATTATAACAATGAAAATAAACTAGAATTGTCAGAAGTGTATTACTATAATATAATTGCAATGATAATGGTGCTTATACACATACACGTTAATTTTATGTTGAAATCCGTGTGAGTCTAGACACCTTGGGTTCCCCAATATATTAAGTGACGCATCGAATTGCTGAGAATGATCGATCGCAGTAGGAAAAGGATGCAATTCAAAGCATTTAGAGGAGTATACTAAATATACTAAACCGCAATGAAGTGTGCTAATGAGATAAGCTCGGAAAAGTGGGTCGTAGAAAAATAGTCTGAGCAGGTGGCTACGAGGAAAATCACTATAAAACAGTATAAAAAAGTTTGATATTATACGCACAAGAGCAACAGGAGTGTGGGCTCTGATGTACGAAGACGTCCGTCGGTACAAGTAATGTTGCAGGGCAGGCGAGAAATGCGCGAAAGTTTTTTTTTATTCGTTGAGCTTGAGCATCGATAAGCCCGATGTATCGATGCGCGTGAAAGCGCGGGGCGGCGAAATTGGTATGTTTATTCGCGTGCACGTCCGAATGATCGTGGACCGAGCGCGTACAGAAGCGCGTCGCACCCCGTATGAAATGACACGTGTGTCGCAACGACGCGTGCGATTGCGCAAAGAAAAAAATGATGCTTGCATGCATAATCATTTTGCCTTCTCGTTGTCGTCTTCTTGAGCGCTGATGACCGGCAATTGGTCTAGGAGTGAGTACGCGTCAGCGAGAGTGCGATTATTATCGCCGGGCGGCAATTACAGCGTAACGATGTCGCAAGGGTTGTGATTGGCAGGGCGTGGCTGCTTCTCCATTGTCACCTACGCTCTCTCTCTCTCTCTCTCTCTCTCTGTGGTCTGCGCGTCTATCTCGGTGGCTCGCTCGGCGGCTCACTAGGCGGCGTACTTGTTTCGCAATCGTCCCAGAGCCGGCTCTTCGCATGAGCATGTACAACAATGCATCGTATTATTAGCCGTGTGCCGAGGACGCCAACTGCCGCGCATTGTCGTAGAGGGGGGTGGTGCTATCTGGTCAATGTCTCGCGTCTCGTCCTGCGCGCAGACCTGCCTGTTGTTGTAGCCAACTACACTAGCTGCACCTATAGTTCGCGGTCGCTTTATAAAAACGAAGCTCTTTCTGGTAGGCAACGAGAGACGCATCGCATACGCGCCGCACGCCTCATCAGCCCTTCGACATGGCTTGCTCCAAGATTGTAAGTCTGCTGTCGCCTTTTTGCTACTGCTCATTTGCTTCGATATTCACTTCATATCCGCGCCGTCCACCACCGGAACACTTCGCTTTTCAAATGCAATCAGCTTTGGCATCGGCTCACAGGCGAACCTTCAACTTTTTGATATATATCCGTTCTTCTTATCTCCATTGTTAGTCATCGAAGCCAAAAAAGCCTTTTTCTTCTTTTCTTCATTCTACGTAAATCTGAAAGGCTTTTCTCCGTACAGCTCGTTGCACTGCTGCTCATCGCTCTACTGTCGATTGCGTCGGCTAAACCCGGATACTATGGTGGTCTCGGCTACTACGGTGGATATGGTGGTTACTATGGTGGTTATCCTTATTACTACCGCTATCCATACTTTGGTTACGGCCACGGATACGGGTATGGAGGCACTGGACTCTATGGATTTGGATACGGTAAATAGACTGTGAACAAATCGACTCTCGTCTGTGAGTAACGTGCATTGATGACCTACCTAACGCTAGAACTAGTCTCGCTTGTAAGCTGCTGCGCTCAGTTAAATTATATATCGTTCGACAGTTGACAGCCTGATTTTCTCCTTATTTTTCATGCGATCGGTTATTTTACAGGTTATCCCTACTATGGCTTTGGCCACGGTTACGGCTACTATATCTAATTGAATTCTTGAAAAGCCTTCATGGATGACACGCCGAGTTTTCCGCAGCGAAATCATCATCCGCCTGACATGCTTCGGCAGCAGTCCGATCACGCAGACCAGTCATGCAAAAACAATTTTCAAGCTCTTCGTTTTTACTAAATTTGTACTTTTTAATAAAAGTTTTCTTAACTCGATATATTTTTTTCTTTTTATTGCAGGCTCTTCGCTATCTCGTATGCATGCTATTTGCTCCTTTTGCCGATCACAATGACCGTTCAGCGATGAAACTTGTTATGATACAACATTACGTATAATTGTCTCGCACATTAGCTTCAAATTAATTATTTGTCTCACGTCACAAATGGTCCAATGAACATTTCACAACTTGCGCTCTTAGTCATAATCATGACATAAGTGTTAGAAAGCCATTGAAGATTGACAAGTATCCTGAAATAGTAATGATCACCTCATGATAGACGATTACATTGAGATTGAGAAACAACGTTATCTGACAAATATTCGCAATATACAATATGTCATACCTAAAATGTGCTCTACTACATTCTCGTCGTAAAAATGAGGACTCTCTAAGTATAATAATACAATGCGGTCGAATTATGCAATTGAAAAAATTTGGACTTGAGTCTCTGCATTAGGCTGCCTTCTTTTGCTCTTCTTCACCTCTTGTTTCATCAACTGTCACGTTTATATTAAAAAAATAAAGCGTTCACATTTCTTACTGTATCATAGTCCTGCAGCTGTACTTTCACTTATACGTACACTTTATTTAGTTGATTGAAAAGGCTATATAATAATATCAAATAAAAATTCAATGTTACTTGTTAATTTTGCAGCCCAACTGACTTGAAAATATAATTGTTATTCAAAGCACTATTAAAAAATGTTTCCTCAAACGAATGTAGATAGATGTTGCTAGTTCACAAAGAAAAACATTAAACATTTTTGGATAAAGCTAGTGAATGTCCTAATGTTATTATATTCAGCTCATTAAATCATAATTTTTTTCAACCGTTTAGAAAAAAACCCCGGCATTAACTAATCACAGCCAATTTGCTTTTTATTCGCATCAATAGTCGTAAATATGTTTGGGAACTCGGATGAAGAAGTATAAAAAAATGGCCAAACAAAAATGCACGAAAACGTAATAGGATGACCCGAATCATGTGTAGCTATTTATTTATAGAAACTTTGAAAGAAGTCACGACTGCGGATTATTCGCTGCAAAAAAAATACACGAACGATCGCAAAAATGAAAAAAAAAAATGCTAGGCCATCGTTGTCCTCGAATGTTTTAAGTTTGATAGAAATCGGTTGCCGTCCAAGGCCTTGACAAGAGGATGGAGCTTGGAGCGTTTCGTCACGAGAAATTAGGTATGTAGCGTATCCCAGTAATTCTGCGAGCGCAATAAATTATTTGACTAGATTTCCATACGTATCGATAATGCACGGATTATCAAGTGTTTATTCGACCAGTTTTGCTATCGCACCGATTATAAAGTTACAAAACGCTTTACAAAACGGCACATGATCTCAAGGCTCCTTAATAAATTGCCGATTTTCTTCCAAGAAGCAATTGAGACTCGTTCGGTGCACTCTTCAACTTGATGCTTCTCTTGTCTATTGTTTGCAGCGATGCAATATCAATAAATCTACCGACTGACATCTGCGAACAACTAATTTTCGCTGCTATCGTTCCTCACCATTGATTTTTCAATGGCATTTGATTAATTTCAACATGATGCAACCAAAAGCAAATGATCTAGTTTTTAATTCGTATAAAATGTAAAACAAAGATAGAATACTCAATGGAGTATTCTATTAAACATCATGTATATTTTTTTGCTAAACTGTAATCAAATTCACGGCAAAACCTTAAAATCCTATGTGTTTAAATTTAAACGTTTTAAGTGTGTAATTGTGACGTCACCCATAAGAAATACATTGTCGCTGAATTTAAGCGTTTAGAAGTGTTTAAAATTAAAGACAATGTATTTCTTATGGGTGACGTCATATTAAACGTTTAAATTTAAATACATGGGTTTACCGTGATTTACTTATTGCCTCAATATCCGAGGCAGATTGTAAATAAACATGGATATAATAAAAAAAAAAAAAATTAGTATAAAAGTACACAGTCCACTTGAATAACTTAACAACTGAAATAATTGACTTTTTTCTGAATAAATATATCCAGTATTTCATGTTGATGGAAGACTAAAACTTGTCGGAGAAAATAAACATGTGGCAACGGTAATGATAAAACATCCTTGCGGGCGATCGAGCTTCGCCCATTCCAGACATCAAACGTTCGACGTTATTGGTCAATAATCAACTATCCAGATTTGAGAATAATCTAAAGGGAAGGTCAATAATATTAATTTCTTCATTACATTTTAAATGACATTCAGACGTAACTGTTATCGAAGGTCGATCTATAGCTTTTCAAATTCCAAGTTATCAAAAAATCTGGAAGCGACACGACGCAAACAACAAAAGATTGTCGACAAGCCATGCTATTTCTATATTTTCAGCACACCATTTGTAGTTTAGAAGAGAAAAACTATGTAAATTTGTTGTCACAGAGATGCTTGCATAAGCAACTAAAAATGTCATTGAAACCAGACAGCCGATAAAGATAAAATTGATTTAATATCATTATTCGACTTTTCAAAGTAAATTGTTTCATTGACATTTGAAAATATGAATAAAAGTCAAAACAGTAAGCTAGACAGTAATTATGAAGGACACTATTGAAGACACGTACAAAGTAAGCGTTGAGATCATTGTGTCTCCACGAGAACTTAATCCTAAAATGCAAGAGATACTCCAAGAATTGCACAATTCTTTGTCAAACGCAGACGAGATATTTATTTACGTTCAAGACTACATCACATAGCATAAAATATATGCTGTTTAAGTTGCAATGAAGCTAAGCCGTATAGTGAGCGAAATTTTTGTTGTTTTTCCTGGTCAATACTGATTATATTCTGGATTACTTATAGTTTGCATGTATCAGCCGTTTTCTTTCAAACAAATAACTTAAGTATAACTTGAGATTGAAAGAATAATTTTTGTCATCGGGAAAGAAGCTATTAATTTGATTAAAAAAATTTTTCAATTCATTCAACCTTGTCCATTTCTCGTAAAAAGAATAAACAAAAAAATAATCAAAAGTTTAAAATCAGCTTCTTAATTAAAATTCATGACGCCATCAAGGAAAAAAAGGTTTACGAATTTTGGCGAGAAGAAGAGCGCGTGTGCATTAGATGTCTGATGATGAGAAGTCGCTGCGATAATATCGTCCATACTGGATGTGTGTTTTTCATACTCCCTCCCGAGGCTGGACACGTACCTTCTTTCTCCTTCTCCCATGGAATTCTCATTTCTCTCGCTCCAACACGTAGGCGAGGCTCTTCTCTCACTCGAAGATTACAGCATCCTTACTCGTGGATCTTCTTGTTGAGAGAGTCCCCCCACTTGAATGAACAATCGGGTGAATCCTATAAATGCTCCAACGTGCCGGTTGGCGGAGAAGTTCACTCTCGGGACAACCGATCCCGTGAGACATGTGTTAGTTTTTTGTGTCTTTCCAAAGGCCAAAGAGAACGAGAGAACGTGGAATGATGGTAAGTAGCCAGGTTATTGCAGTTCTGTCGCGAGTGAACGCACATATATTTGTCAGTCGTCGCACTACCGAATCCAAAACATGTGCTCGCTTCACGTCGTTCTGTAAACGTGTCAATCGCGAGTGGACCGCGTGCTGTTCATTTCAAACAAGTGTGATCTATAACACGTTAGAGGACGATCAAGTGTTTATTTGTGATGGACTACTGCTTTTTCACGCATAAAAGTCGTTCGACCGCGCGACGTAAAGGGATTAGATGAAAAAAAACAAAAAAACCCAAAAAAAAAAAGAACGCGACGCGACTATCAAGATTTTGCAACGATTCAATGGTTTCGCGCACGAACACTTTCATCTTCGTTATGAGAGATACGCAGACGCCTCGAGCGATATTACAAGGTTACCGTCTAATCATTAGAAAAGAAGATAACTGCATTTTTCAAGTGCTTTCCAGTATGCTAGGCCGCTTGTATTTGGATACCCCTCGAGGCCTGTGATTGATTTCAATGATTGTTCAAATATGAGATACGTCTTTTTGCTGTGTTGCATCGTCGCCAATATCTTCTTTCTACTATGGATCTTTTATTTTTCACTGAAAGTTATGTCAATTGCATATCTGCTGTATTTCATTATGTACAACAGAGACATTTCGATTTTCATTAAGCATTCGCGTTTTTGTACGAGTTGATACGCTTCAAGCTTTATAGAATATGCAAAGGCTGTCTATATTCTTGAAAAAGTCATAAAAACCCATTTTGAATAATGACGATAACATTTTTCACGTAAGAATATGCTACCTTAACTAGAACTTTGAAGCATTACAAAATTAAAATCAGTAACAAGTAACGAAGAAGCGAGAAACCAAATAAAAAAGCCTTTCTATTGATGACTCGTCAGTAGAAGAAGGTAGGATATAATCAAACAAGCTATACAATCTACTACATGCTATCTGCCTCATTAAGTTATCCTAATCAGTAATTTGCTAATTAATTTATTGCGTTATTGCCTTTCCATTGCGATCAATTACTAATAAAAATAATAAATTGACGGAATAATTCAACCCGCAAACTTTAGCGCGGTTTCCAAAACCAGAGCGTCCAGTCGGTCTCTGATGAATAGCTTACCAAACGCACGATATAATCATTATAATATTACGAAATATCACATTTTAGACATTCGGTTGTCTCGAAATTAGACATTGAAGCCCACGGCGAAAGATCAGTCCCCTGTTGTGTAAGCGTGCTCCCAAATCGGTTACACAAAACTTAATTGATCAATTCCAATTTTTTTCCCCACTTTCATTTCATCTAATATTTACAGAAACGACAATGCTAAAGACTGTCTCTTATTAGGGCAAACAAATATCTTTATCTTTTCAATGGCGTAATTGCATTAATAACTAAAATGAAGTCAATGAAATACACAGTTATTGTACACTAGACATTCCACACACTTTGAAGATTTGCAAATAGTAAAATCCACATGACTGATGCGGAGATTGATTTTCCGTGCGGCGATTGCATAGGATTTTTACATATACTCTTTAAATATCTTACAACTAACGCACAAAACGTTCAAACAAATTAATCCGTTTCAATGATCAAACATTTTTGCGATTATCAAAGAAATTATATAAGTTATATACCTTACCTTACAGCAACATTAATTTAAATATTTCAACTAAAAAATTTCAATCTTAATTTTATTTCGCATTTCATAATATCGATTATATTCTTTAGCAATAAAAAACTAGCATAGTTCTAGCATCGCAGTGATACCTCATTACACGTCACATTAATATTTGCAAAAATTTACCAGCAATTGATTGATGGCGCCTAGCTCGGCTGATATTTAAACGATATGCACATTGTATCTATTAGTGGTGAAAATAAAAACTATGTTTCTATTCAAACTTCGAATCGAAACTAATCACTGTATTAAAAATACATATTTCTATCGAATGTGCATTATTTCAGTATTCGATGGGTCTAAAAATATAAGTGATGACAAATTCGCGAAAAAAATGTATTCATAAATCAATCTTCAAATAACTAAACACGTCACAAATATTTTGCTTCTTTTCTGTTTGTTTTTAAATTATAGTTGTAAAATCATAGATTCGTATAAAATGCGTCATCACATTAGCATGATACTCGAAGGTCAGTACGATCAGTGATTCGTAGCCAAGACATTTTTTTAGAGTAGAGTAGAAAACAACTTTCAATTTCTTGGAGATTATGGTGGGCACGTATAGTCAGCTCAAGACATCCTCCCTAGACTCGAGAAACATTCTACTATTAAAGTTTATTGCCTCAACGTCATTCGTCATTTGCATCAGATGCTATAATTTCTACTAATCAGCCTTGAAAAAGAAAGGGATTTTCCTAAGTTCAGTTTATTTATTTTTATAATGATAATTGAAAATCTTTTTTAACTATTATTGAGCTTTTAATGTAATAGATTTGAATGTCTCTTTATTTTTATTCATTGGAAAAAACGATTGATTATCGCAACAAAAATTGTAAAAAATTGAACTACGCGCAGACTGCACATCGAAAGCTATAATGATTATGCAATAAAGTGCCTGCGGTTATCTTAGTAGGCAAATTCAAAATGAACCAGGTGCTTTCGTAAGAGCACTAAATTAAGCATATGACTTTTTTCATCGTCCACTTGCTCCTTTTCAACATAATAGAAAAACGTTAATTTCATCTATTGCATAATTATAGTTGAATTGCAATCTTCATCAGCCAAGGAAAAGTAAAAAAAGTATTAAAAAAATGATTAAATATTATCCAAAGTTATCACGAATAACATGAAAATTTTATTGCTAATTATTAAGCCCAGAGAAACATTTTTCTTCTGTTTGATAATTTTGTATAAAATATTTGTCTAAAAAGTACTACTAAGCTCCTTCATTTTTCAGTTTAAGTTCTTATGGACTGCCACTTTACTGGCGGTTGTCGCTTCGTGCCATGCAGCTGAAAGAAATGAAAGAGCAATAGACAGTGCTTCCAAATATTTTGGAGACTTTGAAGGTTATAATTATCAGCCTCCAAGCAAGCCATTCACTCTACCAATGTAAGTAATTTTTATTCGTCCATTTGAATTCTAGAAATTAATAATAATCTAGATTTACTTCTAAATTTCTATAGTGCGCCATCTAGTTCACCTAAACCAGCACCCTCGCGGTCTACTTTCGTGCCAGTGCCAGCTCCAACTCGTCACCCAGAAATCAATTTAGTTCCAGTACCGCAGAACCCAGTAACAGAAAAATTCTTACCAGTTCCAACCCAAAAGCCGAGTGATGGATATTCTTATCCAAAACCACATCCTCCTTTTAATCCACAACCTTCGCCAGCAGCACAAACTATATCACCAACAACTTCTAGACCGCCACCACCACCAGTGTTTCAAACAACGTTTAGACCACCACCTGTGTTTCAAACAACACCTAGATCATCACCACCAGTAATTCAAACTAGGCTTCCGCCGCCTGTAACTCCCAAATCACAACAAGGATACTCTTACCCGCAACCAAATCCTCCTTTCAATCCAGTACGGCCGTCAACACAAAAACCATATACACCTCCATATAATCCACCAAGTCCAACTACTCCTCATTACGTGCCACCGCGTCCATCGACACCTCAATATATACCACCGAGACCGCAGCCACAGACAAGACCTCCACCCTCTCCACCAACGCGGCCTCCTTCTCCACCAACGACTCCAAGCCCATCCTCATCTTTTACGGGATATCATTATCCCCATCCACAACCTTCATTTCCCATTCCATCAAGACCGCAAACAACTCAATTACCGGCAACGCAAAAGCCTTATACTACTCCAAGACCAAGTCCACCGCCATACAGGCCACTACCAACTCAGCCTCCAACAAGACCACCACCACAGCCATCTCAGCCTTACTTACCGCCAGTGCAACCGACTCACCCTCCGGTAACTCAAGCGCCTTACACAACTTCAAAGCCAACGCAACCACCTTACAGACCAACGCCAACTCAGCCACCAACTAGACCACCACCACCACCAACGCAGCCTCCTACACGACCTCCACGACCATCTCAGCCCTATCTTCCTCCGGTTCAATCAACGCATTCAGTGGTAACACAAGTTCCTTATACTACTCCAAGACCAACTCAGCCACCTTACAGACCATCGTCAACTCAGCCACCAACTAGACCACCACCACCACCACCGCAGCCTCCTACACGACCTCCACGACCATCTCAGCCCTATCTTCCTCCGGTTCAATCAACTCATTCAGTGGTAACACAAGTTCCTTATACTACTCCAAGACCAACTCAGCAATCAACCAGGCCACCTCCAACCCAGCCACCAACAAGGCCATCGCCCCAGCCATCTCAACCTTATTTACCACCAGTACAGCCAACTCATCCACCAGTAACGCAAGCACCTTATACTACTCCAAGACCAACACAACCTTCTTACAGGCCACCGCCAACGCAACGACCAACTAGGCCTCCACCACCGTCAACGAGGCCACCACCCACAGTTGGTCCTACTTATTTACCTCCTGTCCAACCAACTCGTCCACCAGTAACGCAGGAGCCTTACACAACTCCTAAACCAACTCAGGCACCATACAGGCCACCGCAAACTCAACCGCCGCAAACGCGTCCACCGGTGACACAAGCACCTTACACCACCCCGAGGCCAACTCAGTTACCCTACAGGCCTCCCCCGACTCAGTCCCCTACTAGGCCACCACTGCCACCAACGCAGCCCCCTATAAGACCTCCATTACCATCGCAACCCTACCTTCCTCCAGCACAAGCAACACGCCCACAAGTAACACAAGTACCTTACACAACTCCGAGACCTACACAGCCCCCTACAAGGCCACCAACTCCAGCTAAACCTTATCTTCCACCACAACCGCCAACTAGACCACCTTACCAACCTTCTACGCCACCTCCGGTAACTAGACCACCATTCCAACCACCGCCAGTAACTTTCCCTCCAGCTTCTCCATCGACTCCTAGGCCACCGCCATACCTACCTCCATCTTCGCCAAGACCAACATATGCAACAGTTACTGCACCACCGCCACCGACTCCAATCTACAGTCGTGTGCCTACTACTAGCACTACTTATCGGCCATTAACTGGAAAACCTGCGCCCTACCCAACTATACCTCCAAGCACACCGAGGCCTTACCAAGGATACAACTATCCTATTCCACAAATCTCTTTTGAAACTCGTTAAGTGAACTTGTGCAAGTTCATCTCAATATAACACACTTTATAAGTGTGTCGAAATTTTGGGTATTCAATATTATTGTACAGATTACCGTTGTATATTTTTAGAGATAAAAGTCGACGAACCCAAAGCAACAATTTTTACAAATAAATGCGCTGTCAATAGCGAGTAAACTACTCATGTATGAGTATCATATTGCTAAGGTAAGTCGACGTTGTATGAAAAACTGTACACAATACTAAAGCCAAAAAAAGGTTTGACAAAATAAAAAATCATTTTTACTAAAGACTACATTTGTATTAAAGCCTTTCTCCATTAATTACTAATACGATATGTGTTGAAAATAATTAAAATCATACGGTTCGATGTTTTTACAGAAATGATCAAGTGGACATCTTTTTTGACGTGTTAAAAGAAAATCGAGCTTAGTTTTTAAATGAAACTTTAACAATGAATCAAGCTGTTAGACATTTTTTCGAGTATTATATAAATGATTTTGAATTTTTATTTTATCAAAGTACCGTTTTTATCAGGCTTTTTAGCTTATTGTATTTATTTTAACACGAGGAAAGAAAAAGAAAATTAGAAATTCCCGTTAAAATTTCTTATTTTATGTGTCTCTAGAGCTATAAACATACGCATACAGCATATTTAATAGTTCAGGCCTATTATAGTTTCAGTGAGAAATACCTTGCACTCAGCTACATATATGTTGCAGTAAGTAGTCCAGAACTCCTAGACTTCTCCTACCATTTCGATCCTCCCCGATCTCTAACGAAGAAAATGTTTTGCCGTCTCCTATTTTCACAATTGTGGGATTGTTGGAGAAAACTCTCAGCTAGAAATATAATTCATCAGTCTTAGGCGATGCAGCGAAAATGCAGCATCAGTGTAAATCCGTATTAAAATAATTTTTCTTTATATCACTTAATCGTAGAAATATTCGAATATCAATTAAGTGTTGGCAAAACATGAAGTGATTAATTGGTGTCAATGGTAAGAGCGAAAGTTAGTTTTTTTTTTCAATGATTTAATCACGTACCAAACCATAATAGTGACCTATAATTGCTTAAAAATGCGAAGGAGAGTGGCCAAGTAGAAGAAATCACGAAGGATATGTACAATACTGGTCGACGATCTGCTATCAGTACATCCGAACTCGGTTTATATTCCGATCACAGTGATCCGTATAACAATAATACGTATAGTACCAACGTTCGAAAGCTAGTTATTGGAATAATGGTTATATTTTCAGTTATTTTGGTAAGTCACATGCAACAACATCGTTTTGGACAAGTTTACGATTAGTAAAAATTAGAACGTTTCTACTTTCATACAACTTTATACGCGATTTTCATAAAACTTTCATAGTGAAATTCAGTATCGAATATATTTAAAGAAGCTCATACTTGTACATAGAACTTTCAGGTATTCACGAGTCGAAGTAAATCATCAGTTCATTTTTAATTCTATAAATGTTAAATTCAAAAAGAAGAAGTTTGCTCAATAATCATTTCACAAAATTACCGTCATAAACAATGCACAAACGTGTTAAAAAGTCAACACCTTTCACTGCTCTCGACAATATACGCCGTACATGCACACATATAAAAATACGGCTCACTTGCATGCATGACGGCCCAAGCGGCAACAATCCCTTCCATCAAGATTCTGATGCGCTTCACATATAGGGCACTTGCTCTTCGATGCGCACTGGCACCGACACTAAACTCGTCCAAAGTAAATTTATTAGAAAGGAACTTGATACGTAAGGTTAACAACTATTTAATTTATGCCCCATGAATCAAACACTTATTTTTAGTTCACCTCTGAAAATCAATTCCTATGCGAAGAAAATATGCGCCAACTGTGAACTTACGTACAGAGTTCTTTTTATAATAGAAAATGATTTAAATACTCTATAGAGTACACATTATTCTGTATAATAATGAATGTATACATGTAAGTTAACTAGATATCTAAAATGTAAAATTTGAAACTTTGATTGATGTTGTAGATATATATTTTTTAATGAAATAATCATTCAAAATGATTATAGATTGGTATATTTCTATACGACTTTACATTGAGTGCATCTGTGAATAGCAAAATGAGTCAAGAAACAAAGCACATCTACATTCTCCAAAACAGCTTTAGAAAGCCAACGCTTAATGCAACCAGAAGATCCAGCGTGACGCTCGCTCCGACAATCTACATAGTGAACAGTAGCCATGCAACTGGCTTCGAGGATCGTTCCGACGACGAAAAAAACACCGAGTACAAACAGGAAGAGGTGGATAATCCTGTTATTGAAACTCGAACTCAGCGAGAAGCTCAAGAGGGTCCAGAGTCAAAGATGCAAAATTTACAGAATTTTAAGTTTCGTGACCGAATGTTAGATCGCACACCTGACGAGATCGAGTTATCTGATCGACCAAAATCAATAATACAAAACCACGCGATGATTTATCGAGCAAGGTATATTTCTTCAAATGTATTATAACGATAATTAGAAAAAGGAAAAACTTATATTTAAAATTATTATTCGCAGTAATAAAATAAAACTACCTACATTAGAAAATGACGAAGCAGAGCTGAGTCCTGGCTACAGTCAGCGAGCGACTCCGTTTCGATTTGAGCTAACTGGTCCACCACCAGCATCCTTCAAACGTCCAAAATATCCGCAGCTATCCCAATATCAGCATCCACATACCTCGAGAAATATTCAAGATATCATCAAGTATCTTACGAACAATCCAGAGTCATTAAACCGAGGCATCAAGTTTACAGGATATTATGTAAATCCAAAAAAATACAATACCGATATTAGAGAAGTCGCAATGAATAGCGAGAAATCGGAAGAAGCAGTTCCTTACGCGATGTCATTTAATACGGATCCCCTTTATCAGTATAAGCCTAAGCATCCAGCTGACGTAAATCTGTTAGCAACCTCGAATTTTCGGTAAGATTCGTTATGCCTCTAAAACCACTAATCATTAACAAACTTATCAACTCATGTAACGACTATTTACAGATTTTCTCCGATGGGACTGCAAAGATACAACTCGTACTATGATAGTTATCATCAAAAACCAACCAGTAGCAAGCACTCGATTTATCAAGAACATCAATATGACAATGCTGGTAATTACGGCACGATGACTTATAGCAAAAAACGAAAACCAAAACCTTTTAGCGTCATGTTGGACATATATCCCATAACCGAAGCAACAGAGCCGACTAAAAAATCATCATCAAAATCACAAACTATTATCGAAGATGCAGACTCAAGGAGATCGCCAATTCCATTGATCCCTTATCAACCACGTCATTCAAAAGCTTATGGCGTTTACACACAAGCGCCACCAATGCCACCAATACCGAATTCCCAAATTCCAGCTATAGAAGAGAAAGAAGCGCATCACATGATACTCCATTTAAACGTTTATCCAAGAAAAAAAACTAAAGCTACTTGGTAAATATTGAACATATATTGTATCAGTTTAATTACAAAAGTAGAATATAACTGTAACCCATAAAAATGGTACTTTACAAAAGAACAAATAATGATGCCACGCAAAAAAAAGATAATAAAACTCAATGGCAAGTGAAATGCGCGTAGTTTAACCATTATATCAACCCGTGAGAATCTACACGTCGTAGAGATATGTAAAGCCTGATTACGACAGACTATATCACCTTTACAAACGAAACTCAACAATAATATGATGGTCATACGTAGTGCGCCAATACTTTCACTATGCCAGTGCGGAGTAGGTTTGAAATATTTTAAAAAAAGTCCTTACGCCAGGTCGCGAACTTTGGTCATTCTCGTATCTTCACTAATTTCGTTGGAATTTTCATTGTACATTAATACATATAGGAATCGAAGGAGTAGAAATAGTTTTTATTAATATATTTGCAATATTTATTAATTGTATTATTGTTTATTCTTAACGTGTTAGCTGAAAGATAAAGATGTGCAAAAGCTAAGCTGAAGACCGTTTCGAAAGAAATTTTATTCACGGGATTCAAACAATGTTTTTCTAATTTTTAATTTTCCAAAATATAATCGTCATATAATGCTATTGGAAATCGAAGTTTATTAACTAATGTCCTCGAGAATATCGAGTGACGTTATTATACAAGGAAAATTTAACGAATGTAAAACATTAACTTTAGCTAATGTCCTCGAGCATATTGTGTGACGTCATGTACAAGAAAGATTTACGAATGTAAAACATTAACTTTAGCTGAAAGAGAAAAGAATCGATGATGCCGCAATAAATAGAAGAAAGCGCCTGAGGGTATGAGAATCTTGAAAAAGAACCTATTTATATGGATGTAATTATCTTTTAAAATACATAAATTGACGATATTTCTTTTTTTTTTCAACAAAAAGTGTCCATTTACTATCTCCGAACGGTGCATATATTATAAATTACGTAACTTAACATCTTGACAGTTACTTTCATTTCTTTTTCAGGAACGATGTTATGGAACGGTCGGAAGCAATGCTATCAAGCGAGAAACAAGAGTTGATCGATAGACTGATTACTCCATTCAACAAAATTGCCAAGCACTTGACAGCTCAGGCGGCTGTTGAAGAGGCTAAATATGACGAGGAGATAGATCGCACCGATTCGGTGAAAGTTCGTTACGAAGAAAATCCTTTAATAAAAGAGGATGTGGAAGAGGTAAAAGGCAGTTTTGCTGTCGATCACTCAAAAGTCCAAGTCAACGCTGAAAGGCTAATTGCAGCTATCGATGGTGACAAATGCCAAAACTGCGAGATAATAACTACACAGGTAGGATCGACAACTTCATTGGGTAGTACTACTGTTTCAGCTAGTACGATATCTGGTACCATTGCAAATACCACGATTGCTACAACAAACTTCAGTACGATTGAAACTACAACGGTAACGAATATCGATTCGACTACATTTAAAGATATAGATACCGTTGAAGGGTTTCAAAAGTTCGCGGATAGCTTAATAGCAATGGATTAGACTTTACATTTAGTTTGAAAAAAGATTTTATGAGCTCTTTTTACATCACTTCTTAATATTTATTTGGTCTACTGTAATGAACTAAAGACTGTAGATAATAATAAAACTTTTGTATTTGACAAATAAAAAATATAATACAACATTCCGTACATTATTATTTTATACACAAATACATCATTACACGACTAATAAATTAGCCATCAACACTAATAGTCCATATAAATAAATTATTTATACATGTAATAAATATACAGCTCTCCACACAGAAACTGTTCGTCACTAGCACCTTACAAGTTTCTCTCGTGGCGCCACTTTTCTTTTGTTCAGTCAACACTTTTGTCAATAACACAAGTTACATGCATGGTATGCTTTTTCACAGGCGATTTCTTTTCTTGATCTTGCTGTTTCATTTTAACGATATAAGAAAGTTACGTCCTCGAAAGTGTGCTTGGGTGATATAAGGTAGCTGCGGTATTACCCTACTCGTAAGGACCTTCTTGCGGCGAGCCAACAGATAGCATTGTACCAGGTCCTAATGTCGTGTGAGATCCAGAACTAATCAGGCCTGGGGCTGATGAGACATAACTTAGCGTTGCTCTTGGCTGGTCTCGTAGTCGTGAATGTCTTGCTTGTTGTTTGTATCTGAAAACATTTTTGCATTGTTATTAACTTACATGCGTTAAATTGGGAAATCGATTTTCACGAGCATGTATAGCTCGTGGCTAAATATCAATAGACTTCTTTTCTTGATTACGCAAAGGAAATTAAAATTACTTCAGAAATGCGATTATGATTTGAATATTGATTAACTTTAGTGAATTAGTAAAGAATCAATAACTCACTTGGCATGCATACAGCAAATGGCAAAGCTTGCCGTAATGGTAGCAACACCAATAAATGCAGCAATAGCTAACACCCACATCTGCGTGGTTGACGCATCAGTTCTAGCAACGGTAACAGCACAATTCTGTACTCTTTCCATATTAAATTTCTTATAGACGTCTTTCAGTTGCTCATTCTTAGGATCATTCAACAAAGCTTTCATTTCGCCTAAAGTATAAGTCTCTTTACCTACAATTTGGAAGCATGAACTTGTAGATGAAAAGTCTAGTGAGTTATCATCTTTAGCATAGAACTGCGTATCATAAACGTTGACAGATATCGGTAACAACAAAGCTTTAGCAACTGCGTTTTCAAACTCTTCAAGCTTCTTTCGAACTTCTACTGGTGGCTTAGAGAATACAAATTTCAACATGTCTCGATCTCGGAGCATGAATATTCTTAACGTGACGTTAGTTTCTCTTCCGGGTACAAGAGAGTTATTTGCAGAAATAGAAACCTCCATGTATCCATCATAATAAACGGTTAACGATCCCGTAGTTCTAATTTCACCGGTTTTAGGATTCAGAGATATCGGAGGTGGTATTGATCTTTTCGTCATGGTGTGATCTGTATTAGAGATGAAAAGTATTTCGCCTATATTATAATTGAGGGATAAAGCATCCGAGTCAACATCCTCAGCTTCCAACGTAATAAGATGCGTGTCAATAGGCACATTCAGTCGTACTCCAATTGTAAAGTTATCTTTCTTGAATTTCGGTCTATTATCATCTATATCAATAATTTTTACAAGTACTTGCCTCTCCGTAGGATCTTGTTTGTTGTAGGGCTTCGGCACATGATCTACAGATTGCGTTGAATATTTGAAACACTTGATCGTTAATAAGTACTTTTCAGCAACTTCTCTATCTATCCTTGCAGCAGATTTTATCAAGGCACTATTATTAGCTAATCTTTCTATGGCAAAAAGGTCAGCTTCATTTCCATACACAATAACGTAGTCAATCATACCATTCTCGCCAATATCTTCATCTACTGCTTGAACTACGCCAACCTTGGTGCCAATTGGGGTCTCCTCTTTCAAGTTCATGTCTATAGGGGGACTAAAGAAACTTCGTTTAAAGTGTGGCTTATGATCATCTATATCCAGAACTTTGACCTGCAAAATTCTGGTAGCTTGTTGAGGTGGTTCTCCAAGATCCTGAGCTACAAGTATCAACGTATAGCTGTCCTTTGTCTCGCGATCCAATAATGTTCTCGTCGTGATTAAACCAGTTTCTTCATCAATTTTAAAGGCACTTGCATCACTGCCAAAATTTCCATCTTCGAGAAACTTAAACATTATCTTACCGTTTGGCAAGTTTGGATCATCTGGATCAGATGCGACCACTTGAAAAACGGGACTGCCGATCGTAGAATTTTCAGCGATTTGAGCAATTTCTTCAAAAGTAGGTCTTACAAATAGCGGAACGCCATCGTTACTAACTACATCACCGATATAAAGTGCTAGCATAACATCAGTAAATAAAGGTGGATCTCCAGAATCTTGAGCTCGAATCCGTAGTAAGTAAGGCTCCGTTCTACCTTTGCCTGTCAATTCATGTTTTGACTCAATCTCACCAGTTGTTTGATTTATTTTAAACAGCCCTAAAATCATATTATTACATTTAGTTACCGTCCTTAGGGCACATATAAATATCCTAAAATTGTTATACATACCGACAGCCTCTCCTTGATCTATAATTTCAAAGTGAATAATACCCCCCGATCCTTCATCAGGGTCACTTGCTGTTATATTGATTATGCTAACGCCCACAGGAGCATTTTCTGGTATAACTGCAGTATAAGATTTTTGTGGAAACATTGGTGCATTGTCGTTTACGTCAAGCACGTCAACTGCAATAAGTGCTCTTGCTGTTCTTTGCGCTGCGCCTCCCCCTGGCGTATCAGCTGCGATTGCATACATTCGTAAAACTGACTGCCTTTCTCGATCGAGAGTCATATTTGGTGCAATCTGTTAAAGGAGTAAAAAATACATTATTTATCATTACTAGTGACATCAGATTCACTCCGCGGGCTCTTATCTTCTTTTTCATTTCTTGTCATATCAATTAACATATTTTACAAAATTACTTGTTTCGAAGGTTGTTTTTTCAATTTTTCTACAAAACATTACAGCGGAAAAATATGTATTAGTAAAACAGTTCCATGTATTTCAACTTCATGTTTTATCATATTGGAAACTACTATAAAGTAATTATGATTTTTTTCAACTATGGATCATATTATTATTATTAAATATTTATTTTACTCTGTTAATAAATATTGCGGCATAACTATAACTTTTATTTCAATCTTACACATTCAAAAGTCAAATTATTGATTAATAATAGATCATAATTAGAATAATTTTAAAGAATAACCTTTTGCTTTTATGAACCAAAATTTACACAACAATAGTTTTTATGAAACAATTTACTCACTGCTAGCTCCATAAAATAAATGTTAAAACAATATCACTGCACCCCATATTTTTTGTATCTTCATTATCGTCAAAATTATCCAAAATAATTATGTTTAATTGAATTTTGAACACTAAAATCTCAAATTTGAACCATATATAATATCTGAACTAATTAGATTACGAATAAAACGCTATAACATGGCATCCATAATTTTTTCATAAGAGGATTTATATTATGTTAGAATTAAAAAAAATTTGAGCAGATAAAATCGCTACTCACTCGAATACTCCCATTCACTGCATCAATTTCGAAATAGTTTGCATTTTCTCCGGTTATAGAATATCTTACTATTCCATAGCCACGATTTCTTTCCTCTTCTGTATTGATGCTATCTATATCGGTCGCCTTGACAGTTACCACAACTTTTGATGGCTTGTCAGATTCTAACACGGCTATTTTATAATCTTTCTGTGTAAAGATCGGGTTATTATCGTTGACGTCTTGAACAGTAACAATGATATTTGCTTCCGACATCCTCCTTGTAATCTCATAATCCCTAGTCACAGCTCTGACTTTGAATTTAATTTGCTATAAAAAATTCAATTACAATTATAATGGTCACATTGAGATGAATTTCGGAACAATGCGGAATTATTTAAACCTTTTCATTCAGAGTCTCGTAGTCTATCCTCTTATTGAGAACGACATTTCCACTTTGAACTCCAACATTAACATATTGCTCATCATTCTCACCACGGACTAGCTCGAATCTCTGAATGGCATAACCAGTTTGCGGCTCTTTCGCAGTGAGTACGAGCAGCGTAGTGCCAAGCGGCTGTTCCTCCGGTACTGTCAACTTAATTGTCGGGTTATTAGGCGTCCAACCTGCGTTGATGAATCTGGGATTGTCGTCGCTGTATGCTTGTATATAAGCTGTTACTTCAGTATGTGCAACTTGTTTTTTTTTATCGACAACTGCATTTTCATCTCTGGCTTCCACTTGGAAGATGATTACGGCTGCCGTCTGATAGTCGAGAGTACGATTGACAGAAATAACACCGGTAGTCTTATTTATTCGAAAAGTAGTCTTATAGTCATATATATTGTTCATTAAAGCTACACCAGCTTTATCAACGGCTGTAATAGGTTCTACGATTGAGTATTCAATGTTAGCATCGGTGTCTGGATCTTCTGCCGTTAATTTCAAAATAATTTCGCCTATAACAAGTCATTGCTCATTAATATCACCGAAGTGAACAATTAACAAATAAATCAGTCATCGTAATATTTACCAATACTAGCTCTCTCTGAGACGTAAACAGTGTAGGTTGAATTAGGAAAAACAGGTGATTTATTATTCACATCAACAATAGTAACAGTAACGGTTGTCGTAGCAGTCTCCTTTATCGGCGTACCAGAGTCAATCGCGTAAATAACCACCTCATATTTGTCTCCACCTTTTTCAAGATCGAGCCTCGCATCTGGCGAAACAGTTATTATCCCGGAATTCGGATTGATTACAAAATTATCTTTAGCGCCCGATCGAATCTGATACTGTAACAAGTTATCTCTTCCATCCGGATCATTAGCCATTACGCGTATGACTTCCGTACCAGATGCTGCGTTCTCCAAAATTCTTGCGCGATAGGCACTTGGACCAGGAAGCGTTGATTTGAAGTTACCTCGGAAGATGGGTTTTTGATTGCCCGGTACACCTACACGAATATAAACTTTCGCTTCCGAATATCGAGGTGGGGAGCCGTAATCTGTTGCACGTGTAGTTAGCTCGTAGACGCCCCGCTCAGTGTCACCTGAGCGTGCTGGAGTTGTGATGGTTAGTTCTCCAGTGTCGGGATGAAGCTGTTAATGAGAAATACTTTAGTAAAAAAAAGATTTCATAATATGAAAATATTATATTTGCTCGTATGTTTACCTTGAATACATTGTCGTTCATGCTATTGTGATCAGTAATAGAATAAGAAACCCGGCCACCTCCTTGAGTTGGCCCATCAATATCAATAGCTCGGATGAACATTTGGGGATCAAAACTAGTCGCACTTTCTCTTATGATTCTCGAGTAGTCAGACTGCTCGAACATTGGGTCATTGTCATTGACATCCCCCACCTCGATCAATAAGACTACCGAAGAAATTTTGCCACCGCCATCTTTCGCTTCTATAGACAGCGAATACGAACGTTGGGTTTCGTAATCGAGTGCTTTTGCCACATATACACCGCCGTTTTTCAAGTCAGTACGGAACTTTTCTGCACCAAATCCTCGTAAATTATAGGTAAGTTCACTAAATTTACCACTATCTACATCTTTAGCTTTGATATCACTGAATTTTAAGCCGATTTCGGCATCTTCAGCTACATCAAGTCGATAGATTTCTTGAGAGAATTCTGGGCTGTGGTCATTAGCATCAACCAGCTGAAGGTGCACCGTGGAAAATGCAACCTAGGAGCGATGATACATAGTTTAAATGCGTTAAGTAAAGTGCATCGAAATGAAAGTTGTCATTAGGTAATGCAATAAGTAATCTCGTTTTTTTAGCAATTTCCAACGTTATAATAGTGTACATTATTTTAATACAACTAATTAACTTCGTTATACCAACGTACGCCATTATTTTTAAAAATTGTCTATAATAATTCTGATAATTATAGGTTTTTTGATACAATAACATAACTAAAGAATGAAATTTACCGAAAACATATAGAAAGAGAAATGATGAATCATTTGATATACTTACAACTTGATCATTTACAGAGGCTGCAACCTCAAATTCCAGCTCATGATTACCAGGTATATCGTAATCCAATACATTTGAGTCTTGCGTTCTAATGATGGTCGAAACTCGGCCTTGACCTTCTTCGGGGCTGATTGCAAAAGCTTTGCTCACACCTGGATAATTCGGTGAATCCCGCAATACTAACTTGTATTTTGCATTTTCGCCTATGTCATCGTCAGTGACTAACATGTTCAAACCTATAAAAAGTGCATTTGTTTTAGTTAATATACTTTGAGCCATATATGTTGTTTAAAACACTACACAATTGTTATAAAAAACCGAACTACTAAAGTTTCTTTAATATGGATATAATCTATTAATGGAACCGATCAAATCTCTGATGGTAATACAAAACCAACGACCGTCGTAGCAGCTTGAAGCAAATCATCTATTATTGAAGATTACAAAAATAAACGTTCATTGTGTAAGTTCCGAAGGCAATTAAAATTATTAAATGTTTCGTAAGAAAATATAGTGGTGTAACCTTTGAATCGTTGCATATTATAGAAACGAACTAAAAAGTTAGTATAAAAGTCACCTACCAGGCAACGCAGTGTCAGTACCAATATCTTCAGAAATCTTCAGATTGAACAAATCCTCACTGAACCGAGGTACCATATCATCAACATCCGTCACAATGATCGTTACCGTTGACACCGTCGAATCTGACAATGTCTGGTTATCAATCAATTCTGTCGCTCTAACGTCAAAACTGTAAATTCCACCGTTTTGCATAATACTTGGATCTTCACGGTCGAGCGACACGTCTGTAGTAATAAGGTGTCCAACTATAACATCACCCTCTCGCATAACTTCCAATTGAAAGTAACCATCTGCTTCATTTTCGAGTTCTAGTTTCAAGTTTCTTGGTTGTTCTGTATCTCCATCGCGTGCTCGAATCGTGAGAACTGTCACATTTGCTTCTTTGTTTTCCGCCAAGGCGCCACTGTACGGCGCATTTATGAAGATTGGAGGTTGATCCTGAAAAAAATAGAATAGGAGAAATATCCTCCATGGCTATATCATACGTATATGATTTCACTTATTTTCATGTAACTGTGTTCATGTCGTTTATAACCTGTCCATCGAATTTGTATTTAATCAAGATGCATTTGATAACGTATAAAGCAAAAAAACACAAGTTTGAGCAACATTCCTACAGTAATATATAGCAAAAGAAGTTCAGTTACCTCGGAAGCATTACGATTATTCAAAAAAAATTATCTTCACTCATCAAAGCGACTTACCCACTCACGACTCACTTATTCGACTATGAAATTAAATAATTAAAGCATTGTTTTACCTGAATATCCAGTACATCGATGGCAACAGTAGCTTTTGCTTGCAATCTCTTGAGCGGATCAGTTGCCCCATCCACGGCGACTAAATTAATAAGGTAAGAGTTCCTTCTTTCATAGTCCAGTGCTTCCATCAATGTAATTTGTACGTCATATTTTCCTTCAGACAGCTGGAAAACGTTCAATTATTATTTACCATCGCCAAACGTATTCACACAATTCAATATGGTTTGCCTCTATGCTTTTTGTACACATAGAATTTCTCAAACGAGAATCATAATAATCTGTATGATTCTGATTTCCTATGGACTATACGCCGGCGTTTATACAATGATCGATCGATCAAAAGAACCGCTGCGACCACGGCCTTTCTTTTAACAAAACAGCGTTACGCAAGTCGTACACGCATACGTGCAATAGCTATAACGCGAAATATAGCTCGGACGCGAGAGTAGAAATTCCGCTTACGAAATATATAGCTACAAAATAATATTTGATGCTCTTGCAATAAAAAAGCAAGAGTGTGATACGTTATAAGAAATTTACTTTAAAACACGTTCATTTGAAAAATTTTTATCAAATGTTGGGTAAGTATGAGCTTCATTGTAAGTTACTGACCTATGGCGAGTCGATTGCATAGCAATTGTTAATATTACATTGAATTTCTGATTATACACGGGCAGGCAGTACGTAACAAAAAGAGTCCATTAATGATATAATCGCAAACAATGAGTGACGTAAAACTCAGCATTGATTTACACGTAAGTAATATATAAATGCAAAGACCAGTGAGCTCAATCGGAATCGTATGAAATTCTCATTTAAGTATACCTTAAGCGTAGCAATGGCAAACACTCGACAAACGTCATCATCTCTGCTGGCGGGTACACAATCAACTTTGACATCAGCATTGACACCACCATCGCGATCGGTAACAGTGATGGTACCAGCTTTCAAAAGTAGACCGCCGACCTTTGCACTCTCGGGTACTCGAGCAACGTAAGGTCGACCGTGGTAAGCTGGTGGATTGTCATTCTCGTCAAGCACCGCTATCTCGCGACGGAGTGAGAATATATTTGGCTCCGAACCTGATATACTCTCATCTGAAAAACACAAGGTTGGATGGCTTTCTTCTTCTATTATGTAACAGATACAATTAAGATTACATTGGGTTGAGTGATTAGTTTAAGCGATTCACTCCAGGGATAAATTCGAGTTTGTGTCCGTCAATTTTTTCAAACATAAAAAATAACAAAGGTAATGAACTAATGTTTAATTAATTACAATCAAAAGTTACATTATAGTACATAAAAATAATCAAATTTCTCGAAGACGTTGGATTTTCAAAGGAAATAACAAAGTCTCTATTGAATTATATAAAGTCTTTTTGTATACTTTTATTAAAAGTATGACTTCATCTATTTACCAAAATTATTGATATTACCAAGTGTAATTTTTTTTTTAAGAAAAAAAGTACACTATTAAAACCGCTGTTAATCATTACCGCCAATTACGCGTAATATGTAGAGAAAAAATTACTACTCTCATTACATTACAAGTCATTCAATTAGTTTTCAGTAAACTCACTTGATAAACGATTAAATAAACGAATAAACAGTCACATAATAAACGAATAATCTTCGTACTCTAATAACTCAAAATCGCATATCCTATTGCTGATAGTTCAATCATCTCGCATTAGGAAATCAGTTTATTAATCTATATATGTACGTTAACGTGCGTGTGTGCCCGCGTCTCAAACTCTCTTCTGCTGCACTATTTCAAAGAATGGTAGGAGAGGTGGATCTACCTACTCATGACTGAATCTATTGTTACCCCTAAATACCCACCTAGCGCGTGTTTAGCATTCGTAAATACGTACCGGTTATGCTAATGATCACTTCAATTATGTCTTGAGCTTCATGGTCAAGCTGCCGCCTGAGGACAACGACGCCGGTGTCGCGATCAACGCTGAAATGTTCACCACTAATGCTGTAGTGCAATCGCGACCCCTCAGGATCATCCGCTTGCAGAGTATAAACTGGTGTTCCTGGTGGCGTACCCTCCGATACAGCTAGTCTTGCCATATCTCCGCCGTGAATAAAGCGAGGTGGCTGATTCACCACTTGACTCCAGCCAAAATGGCAAATGACCAGGAACAGGAACGTTTGCATTGTTCGCGACATTTTTAGGCCTACAATAAGAATGATAATGGTTTTGAAAATATTGTTTATTAATATTTTTGTAAAATACATATTCTGCCTCAAATGATGCGTCTAATAAAGATGTAATGAATAAATTCATCTTGAAATATATCTGATGGATTGGATATTTCGGACACTTGCTTGTTAACAACCAAATTACTTACAGCAAATACACGAAATGACATTTTAATCAACTCTGAAGCACTGATACTTGCAAATTATGATGAATGATAATGCTCTTTCGTTGGGAGTATATTATATTACTTTAATTGGGCATAAATGTGCTATATCCTTATCGCGATATGCATTAGAGCAAAATGACATTCGATTGGACACACTTTTACAGGATAACTATGAAAGGTTCGCATTAAAAGCTATTCTAGAAGTCGTTGAGTCACCTTTCAAACGGTATATTGATCGGTGTATCACAAGTGATATAACCAAGATCAATGCACCTAATGTAGAAACGGCATTGAGTAACGTTTCATCGAGTCTTTAGTAAAATGCTGCTACAGCGATGAAAATTAAAAGAATCAGAGCAATGAAAGAAAACGAAAATCAGCGTAACAAAACAAAAAGATTCCATTAAAAGACAATTGCTTGTAGTAAAAGTTTTTACGGCTTCGTGGTAGAAAATATCTAAGCATTCGTGCGGATGCAGCTGTTACAAACGACTACAAAGTGCCTCGACTCGACGCTATTCGGCCGCGTCGATAGGCTTTGGTTACACGCTAAAGAGGCTTCGCTTAATACCGATCAAACGGCAATAAAATTCTTGGGTTCTCCCGAGAAAAGTAGGTTTGGCAAAAGTCCAGTGTTAGCAATTGCTGAACTAGGAATCCAGGAGCTTTGAAATTCTATTGTAAGCGCAAGTCATTTAATACGCCGAGCAAATTCATTACGGCCGTTGAACTCGATACAATAAAGATCTCTACTCCTCAAATCTCATCAGTCTCATAATATCCGAAATAAAGAATGATCGTCTATCGACTGTCTTCGCAAACAATAATACTCGTAAAATTCTCGTAGAAGAAAAACGCACCTCTCGACGTTCAGTTACAATGGAACACACAGCACGCGTCCTCGCACCTATCGAACTTTCACCGTATCGTCGCTCGCTTTTTCTGCTTTTTTTCTGAACTCTGAGATCGACGCAGTGAGATAGCGAGCGACATTACGTTAGCTGTGACTTTCTCATTAAAGAACACGTCGTGCGTTACGCAATTGTGCTTCGTCACTGTTTTTTTATTCTTTTTATAACGACTTCTACATTCTAGCAAGTTGAATGACACGTACACGTCGGCAATATAATAAACTTTCGGCATGATATAATGAATACTCCTTTGCATGCAATGGGTATTCGTGAGCCAAGAGTACTGACCGTCAAGTTGTAAGGATATGACGTATATTTGAAGTAGATCTTTAATGTGTTTCCAATTGGCATTGACCAGAGTAAGAATGGTTCATTGAAATCTCATGCCTTGTATCGTCAGCCTCGTGTAACAGTAGGAAAATAAGGCGAAATGCGTACGGAATGACTGTAATCAATATACAAGCGTAATTTTTACAGATAGCTTGCCTGTACAGACTGTTCACGCTGTGAAATAATCGAGCTAATTACGCGAAGGATGAATTTGATGCAATCAGGAAGACGCACGCGTTTACGAAATATGCAGTTTGAGGGCATTGCCACTGTCACGCTATTATTACCATTCGTTTGACCGCTTTCCGAACACAAAAGCCTGCAGAAAGCCTATCATTTACTTTTCAGAAAATATTGTCATTTCTCTTTCCTTTCTTCGATGAAATCCACAAGCTGCTTCTGCTAATTTGGCATTCGGGAAGGGGAAATGCCAAACGATTATACTGTGATTATATTTTGGATGGATCACTCACATTCATGATGAGGAATAATATTGTTAGTGAGTGCAAGCAATCTTTACTACGAGAGCTAACAAGAATCTAATTAGATAAGCAGCAATCTGCGTGAAATATGCCTCAAAATACAATTCACTGTGAAGATGGTTTTTTCAAAACAGCTATATGAACAAAAGTTAATAAAATTCTTTTTAACATATGGAATGGTTTTCTGTGTAAAAGAAATGCGGTAATCCTTTTATTCAATCAACTCTATCCAGTATGATGCCACAGGGCACGTAGACCTTTCTAACAGACCGATTCCAAATACGTTTCAAGTGAAATCTTCAAACTGAACTAAATAACAGTGTGGAAAAAAGCCGAAAGGCCTGTGTGACTAAGTATCACACATAGTTCGCTACATGCAAATGAAGCAAAACGAAAGTATAGCAGCGCGAGCGATCCCTTTGCCTTTTCTATGTGAAAAAACGCAAGAACGATATAGATATACTTGTGGGTTACGAGCCGCGCGCGCAAGAGAGAGAGAGAGAGAGAGATTCTGAGGTCATTGTCGACCTGAAAACTGGTTGTGCGAAAGTAACCTCTCTCGGGTAGGCTAATAATCTGTTTGCTTTGCTCGCGAATAGCCAGAGCTGCGTGTCGGAATCGCTTGAGTGCATCGTCCGATCGTCGTAAAATTATACAATTGATCTTGACTGATAGCATCGCCACCTCGCTGCCCAGCCACATTCCCTCTAGAAAACAATGACAATTACAAGCTCCGAGAAGTGCAGCCAGCGCGCACGCACCTCGCGCCTGCAATTGCGAGCACCGCAACGGGTTCGGCAGAGAGCGGCCGTGCATCGAAGTCACCGCGCCGCTCACGAGGTCAAGCGCGACTTTTCGGGCGACGAACCGCTCTCTCGCACGCGACCACGTGCTCTACTCCCCGTCGCGAAAACATCCGGGCGACGGAGCGCGGCCAGCATCCCGCGCGCGAGGCGACCGCTCGGGACCCGCACGCCGCCGCCGTGGAGAACGCACAAAGGCCCGCTACGCTGCCCGGCGCAGGCGTCGGCGCGGAAAGGACGGCCGTTAGCCGGAACGCAAGAGTGCCGACTCGGACTGCAGCAGCCTCACCTAGTCCCTCTCTGCGCGGGTCTGCCAGCTGGCCGCCGCACGTTGGACCGCACGCACTGCACTCGTGGAGCTGGCCTCGCGCGCAACTCAGCCGGTCTCACGCATGGCACCACCACTCGCAACAGCTCGGCATGTCCTGGCGGCGTGCGTGTGCGCGTGTGCGCGTGTGCGCGTGTGCGCGTGTGCGTGCGCGAGCTGGGGCTGCCGCCTCGACGAGGACGCGCTGTCCGACTGGTGTGCGCGCCGCCACACGGACAGGAGAAAGAGCGCGCTCGCCGTTCGCTGCGATGCGAGGGTGGGAGGCGCGCGGACCGACGAGCTGTACCTTTGTGTCCCGCTCGGCGCGATCGCTTCGCGTTCGACAAAAACGCTGCTCGGTAGGCTCCCTTCTCTTTCCGTGGAGCGTCTTCGTCTTCGGGTTTTCGTCGAGCGTGCGGCCGTAGTTGCGGAGACCGACTTTTAGCGATAAATGCGCGCGTACCAAGTGGCTGCGTCCAACGCAAAAGAATATAGTCGAATAACACGGGGAAAGGAACAGCGAGCGGCCGGTAAATGTAGCGGTACGCCGTAATATCGGCAAGTTTCTCGGCAAGGACTCGGTCGGGAATGCCACGCGGAGTATAGGCAGTTTGCAGGACACCGCTCTTTGCGCGCGCGCGCCTGTCTAACCGCGTGGAGGGAGCTGAGTACAGTTAACAGCAGCGTAAGGAGCGCCAATCTTTTTCTCTCTGCTGCTGCTGCTGCTGCTGCTGCTGCTGCTACTACTGCTACTACTACTGCTGCTGCCGCAACGTATACACGCGGGCGATAAACTCGGCCGAGGCACACTTTTCCCGATATTGCAACTTTTCGTGTCCGAAATATCTGACAAATTCAAGATCGTCCAAGCGTCCGCCGATGTGTCGAGGTCGAGAGAAGACGTTGGATTTGTTCCTATACTTTTAACCTGCAATTCGCTTTTAATAGTCAATAAGAGGTCGTTCAAGACAATCGCGTCTTTGAAAATCAATCGCGAAATTGGCATTTTGGGGTTTTTTTCGAAAACTAATCACTAACACAGAAAACTACATGAAATCACAAAAGCACTATTGATTCGATGAAAATACTATTACGCATAACGCTATCCGAATTATGACGCTAAACGTCACTCAAGATGAACATGTCATACGGTGAAAAGAGGCAATCATCCAATTTAATAATTTGCTCGAGCGGCTGCATAATAAAAGACAATTTATTCGAGAGCGACAACCGACATATCAATAAAAAAGAAATACAAATGCACATTAAGTACCGTACTTTTCCCTCACTTTATTATTCGCCTTCTCGATTTTTGTAGCGCGAAGTGCATCGCGTGCCGCTACACATTGGCGCCGAAAATTGCACGTGCATGAATAGCGAAACAACGAACTATTGATAGTCAAAGGGTGCGCTCTTGGTGAGTGTACCTACATAAGCGCTCAGATCACGCAACTTGGATTTACAGCATCTTCCTTGATCCATCTATAATGATGCCGTGGCTGTAGATCTGTGAGCTTTAATGACGCTCGCAGACAATGCACCACTGAATTACGCATCGGACGAGGTTGCAGAAGATGGGCTGCGGGAATCAAAGCTTTTTTCTAAGGCAGCATTCTCGCGCTGTATCTGTCAGAGTCGCATCTTCTGAAAATGACTCAGTTTTTTGGCCTATCCGTTAAATTTACATTTGGCGCAAAATTCCATTGTCGAATATTATTAAATATCATCTTCAATGTTAACCATCATCATGACGAATACAATTTTCTTAAAACAGAAAAATTAAAGTGGATACCACATTTGAAATAAAAAACGGTGACTGAATAAGTTGCTATAACTGCTAACCCATTTTCCACAGCACTATAACGATG